ATCTTGTTTCAAACACCAACACTACACACAAATTACCACTGCATTCCAATGGCAACATTACAGACATGGAATATACTCCTACATGCACACACATACTCTATACAAAACATGTTCAAACACACAAAAACTGCTCACAAATACAATCCTGCAAGGATTGGCACATGGTAAATCCCCAGCTGGCATAGCATCATGGGAGTTCAGCAGATAGGGATCTACCTTTTGGTCACCCTTGTGCAAGAAGGTGCCTAATAAATTTCTTGCACCAGGGCCTGCTCTGCATTAGTTCCACCACTGCACTAGTATATAAATAATAACATCAGTATGTCTATATAGAGTATAACTACAGCTACCTCACTCTACAAGGATACGGTATATAGGACAGCCTGCACAGAAAAGGTACTATATGTTTAGACTCCTCTCTTCTCTCCCTTACTTGGCTGTTAGGATCTATCCATAAAGTTTGATCTACAACATTTGCTGTAATAAAAAAAAAAAGAGAGAGGTTACATAATACAGAGAAGAACTGAAACAGAATAGAGACTTGGCAGGAAAAAAAATTATTTTCAGTGTGAAAACAAGAGCTGGATCAAAGGTATTAAATTGCATTTTGGATTACTTTGTAACTAGTATGTACAATATGTTTTACAAAATAGGTTAATTTATTGAATGCTTACAAATGCATACTGCCTTTTGTTTTCAAGTGATACAGTGTGTGAATTTATTGCAAAATATAAACATGCAAAGAATCTATAGATTAGAACATTAGACTTCGGACTTGAATCATTAAAAACAGTGAAGTTAAAATAGCCATGCTGGAAAAACAATTAATTTAGAGAATTTCTCAAATCGGGCTGTTTTGGCATACATTTCACATTTGCTTTCTAATTCACTAAAATTCTGTATTTAGTGAATTTTACTTTTAGTGACATTTTGACTACATCACTTACTGCAGCTAGCATGAGACATGCATACTCTATATTAAAAGATTTAGAATAGAAAATGCATTGGGTCTAGTTGCTGCAGATTGTTGTGTGTAGTGTTACAGACAGTTATTTATGCTCAGATTAGTCTACCAGAGGGGGGTAGATAAAACCTTAATGAAGCGAAGAATCCTACAAAACTCATCAGGGGTCACAGTGACCAGAACATTATAGGCATTTTTTTATTGTGGGACCATTAGCATCTCCTTTGAAATTTGCTGAATGGCATGATCACAGGAAAACAGGACAAACAAAAGATCCCCTCCTTAAATATCTGTTAGCAAATCTTTGTACAATCATACATCATTATATTGGACAGAAAAACTGCTCACAATACTAATTCTGTCTTGTGGCTTTTGACTGCATATAGTATATTTTTTAATAGTATAAATGTTTAAATTTAAGATTTGATATGTAAAAATTTTAGTTGGTGCTATAGCTAAAAATGTGCATCTTTTGTATAAACATATAATTGACAAACATTTGCTAAAATATATATCACAGAATTCTCATTTTGAAATAATAGAAAAATCTGCCAAATTTAAAGGGTCAAAATTAGCATAAGTTAATAATATGTATCTGTTTCATTTGACAGGGGTGGCCTACTTCAAACTAGCAAACGTTTGTAATAAATTTGGAAAATCATATCCTATTGAGAGGTACTGTTTTGTCATGCAACAAAACCATGCACACATAGAGGATTTAGCCATGGAACATTAACTCGGAAAATGAAAATTCTTACATAGTTCTACATGCATAAAAAATAAAGATTGCTCTGTGATCCGTGTAACAGAAAATTGCTAGTAGTACTCTGTGTGTCGAAGGACAACGTGACTTATACGAAGGACCACATGTGGCATCCCAGGTGTGAACACTAACCAATTTATTCAAAGTGAATTCAAAGAGAATTTCAAATTTAAGGGAAAATTGCTGAATTAGAAAATATTTCTATGTTTCTATAATTCACTTTGAATTCTCACTTCAGTGCCTAATCCTATAAATTGGACAAGTGACAGCAATCTTCCAACCCAACATCACTCAAAATGGCTGCATGCCAGGGTAGAGCTTGAAAGGAGGAGGTACAGGGGATTTTGACCCCTATGTCATTAGTATACAGAGGTTTGTGTGCCGCTTCCTTACAGCACAATACTAAATATATTATGTAACTATCTTATATTAGTTATATTGTTGTACTCCACGTATGGAGTAGTGTTAGTATAAAACATTTAATATACAATGAATAAAGGAAGTGGCGTGTGATGTACCAATGTGCTGTTTTGACCTCAAGTTGGGCTATATGTTTGCAGTTGCCCTCCCAAGCCTAATGAAGCTAGACGTCTGCTGCTGCATATATTGGGCAAAGAGGGGAAGGTAGTAGAGATAATATCTCTACAATATCTAAACAACATTAAAGGCAAACCAACCTCCAGCAAAGTAATACAAACTTGTGAAATTCAGGAAGAAAAAGATGAAAATAAACTTGGTCAAAATCATGTAGCTGGTCTTTGCTTTAAACTTCACAAATCACGAGTTTAGACGAGCAAATCTGAGCTATATTTATTTCTGGAGAGCTGGACCTTATCTTTTTTTTTTCTTTTTGTTAACTATTATCAGTTTTAGCTGAACTGGATAGGCCTAGCACCCTTATGTTTAACAAGTGCTCAATAAGATTTGATTTTTATTTAATGTTTGATGTGAGCACAAAAGATACAACAATCGCGTCATACAAACTAGTCCTTGGTGGGAGATTCACAGAACAGATGTAGGACGGACTCTAGGCAGGCACAACTCCTAAACCAGGGGTAGGCAACCTGCAGAACTCTATATGTTAGATGTTGGTAACTTCATCTGCCAAGATGGTCTTACAGCCTTAAAGGGACACTATAGTCACCAGTGCAACTACATGTATTCCTGATCTTATAGTGTTAACACCACCATCTAGCCCCCCTGGGCCCCTCATGCCTCCATAAATATAGTAAAACTCTTACTGTATTCAAGCCAGAAGCTGTAACTCTGCATGCTGTTTGTCTTAAAAAAAAAAAAAAAAAACAGTCTGCTGACATCAGCAGAAGTAGTAGCCTGATCCAATCACAGTGCTTCCCCCATAGGATTGGCTGAGTCTGACAAAGAGGCAGATCAGGGGCAGAGCCAGCATGATTCAAACACAACCTTGGCCAATCAGCATCTCCTCATAGATATGAATTGAATCAATGAATCTCTATGAGGAAAGTTCAGTGTCTGCATGCAGAGGGAGGAGACACAGTGCTGCCCTGTGCTCTGCTGACAGCAGATCTGAGTGGATTGAGGAGTTTTATGCCTCAATCAACTCGGAAGTCCCTCTGGTGGCATTCTGAGTGACTGCAACTGGAGGTGTTCCTAGCTTTCAATGTAAACACTGTATTTCCCCAGAAAATACAGTGTTTACATGAGAAAGGCTACAGGGAGCTATAGTTCTCACCTGAATAACCTAATTAAGCTGAAGTTGTTCAGGTGACTATAGTGTCGCTTTAATGCTGGCAAAGCCTCAGGGTGATGTAGTCTACAACTTTTGGAGTGTCGAAGGTTTCCTACCACTGCTCTAAAGAATGCTGCAGAAGAGTCCCATACAGAAAGAACTGTTAAGATATTTTCTTTTTCTAAGAACAGAGGGTGCCACTGACTTGGTATGGCAATGATCATCTGCAATTGCTATAAAAACAAAGTATCCCTGGGATCAGTCTCTCATTTCTACACATATGGGAGTTTAGCATCCAACTTGTGGGGAGTATCAGATGATAAATAATAAAATGAGTCTTCAGAACCAGAAAGAACTAGCAAAAGTATGGTTAAATGTTGTGGTCTCGGAGAAGCCAAATTTACTTGTATCTTGTAGAAATTGCCTACCTTGGAGGTAGGTTAACTGTTTAGATGGGGCTTAGGAGTCTCTAAGAGATAAGCCCATAATTTCATATTATCCACTGGAAAGAGAGAATTTAAAGGACCACTAGAGTGCCAGGAAAACATACTTGTTTTCCTGGCACTATATTGCCCTGAGAGTGCCCCCACCCTCAGGGCCCCCCTCCCGCCAGGCTCTAGTGTGAGGAAGGGGTTAAAAACTTACCTTTCTCCAGCGCCGGGCTCCCTCAGTGCTGGGGAATCTCCTCCTTCTTCTGCCGTCATTGGCTGAATGCACGAGCGGCTCTGTGCTTTCCTATGGACAGCAGCATCTTCTCATTGTGAAAATCACAGTGAGAAGCGCGGATGCGCCTCTAGCGGCTGTTTCTATGAAACTGCTATGTTTACAGCAGAAAGGGTTAATCCTAGAGGGACCTGGCACCCAGACCACTTCATTAAGCTGAAGTGGTCTGGGTGCCTATAGTGGTCCTTTAAGGAAATGATCTCCTCTTTGTTGCTACCACAAGAAGGCACCTGGGGTTCAAGCCCTAAGATCCTGTATGTAAGACCTCCTGACATTTAGGTTAGTAGTTTCTGTAATAGTTAATAAACTTTACATAGATGCTGGTGTAGAACCAATTCAGACTGCTTCTCCTAAATTTAAATGAAATGTTTTTTTTCATTTAACTCAACTGGCTCATTTAAAACAGTTTGAAAGGTATTATTTTTAAATAGGAATTGTTAGTGAACATTACAGAAAACAGACAAAATTAAACAAATAAAGTGGTTCATCTATTAGTTTTAATTATCTTTCTATTTACTAGACGAGATTTTACAAACTCCTATAAACTTAATGGAATGTAAGGAGCATTAAAGGAAATGGTATTCACAGTGCTTGAGCAGTAGACATGTGTGTTTGCAAAAAAGTTTCTGAACACATGCAATCCATCTCAGATCTTCCAGGATCCTTGTGCTTTTTTCTGTGACAGACTAGTGGAGGCGTGCCTGGCTAATGTTACAGAGGTGGACACAATCTAGAATTCTGACTTCACTACAGTCTGGGTCAGTGCTTGGAGTGTGCTTACTGACTACAGGACTGTGAATTCTGACCTTGAGAAATGGTAACGTTCATCTTATCTGGCACGAGTTACTCTGCTCAACATCTGCAAACAAACTGGAGTTTAGTTTGAAACATAAAGTACAAAACTGAACACACAAAAAAAAAGCATTTGGTTTCTTTTCAATTTTTTTTAATTATTTTTTTTTTATCTTTGATGGGTTTGACAATGGCAAAGACATCATCACTACAAGGATACCCCACATTTTTGATTTTGGGTATTATCCTGCACATAGCAAGTAGCCAACAAGGTAAGAATGGCAAAGGACTTAATTCTTCAGCAATTTATAAACAAAATGTTTACTTTATGACTTTTTAGCATTGTAGATGTTAATACAAATGTGTCATGTTTTGATGCTTGCATTGTACCCAATATTAATCCTTTCTCTTTAAGTTTGAAATTAAGTTTGAAATGATTCATGCTGATCTCTAGAAAACTTTATTCAGTACTGATTTCTTATTTTTTTTTTTACATCTAATACATTGTGGTTTACTGATCTCTAGAAAACTTTATTCAGTCCTGATTTTTTTTTCCATCTAATAAATTGTGGCTTGCCTACCTGCTCATCAGTAGATTCTAGGAGCTTTCAATGTAATTAATATAAAATTAGGGTCAATAATTATGTTATGGTAGGTAAAAATATTCACATCGTGTGCTGTATATCACTGTTTTGCTTTGATTCTGTCAAACCAAGTGATACTTTTACTGGTAACTTGAGCTATAGTGATACTCTATATTGATACTATAAGGAGAAATACACTGTACCGTTTATATGGCTGGTTGTGCATGATGTAAGTGGCTGCTATTTTGTCTGTATGTTCTGTGCTGTACTTTTATCTCACTGTGTATTTTAACACTTCGAAGCCTTCTTGTTACAGACTTGGTGAATTTGCGTATTTTTGTTTCTAAGGTCTGAAAAGGTTCTAATCTAGTAGCTCTGTGAATCATCCACTAATACACAACAAATATTGACTGACACTTCTTATCATCAAAGTATTCTCTACACAAGTTTAAGAATTGCTGATTAACTTTTGAGAACTGGAAGTGGCAGTCAGGGAGTACAAGGGGTTAAAAAGTGAACTTGTGTTTATTAAATAGATGACAGTTTCCAGTACTGTTGATGAACCCAGTTACTCGATTAAAGTGAGCAGCACACATTTTGGTTTTTCAAAGATCTTGTTGCACAGTGGGTGTAATAATAAAGGTTTGGTACCTATGGGGTTAAAATGGAATCCCTGTAGTTTCAGGATTATTCAGGCCCAATTAAACATCTTGCTGAAAAAAACTGGATTAAAAAGTGCAAAGCATTAATTGAGTTCTGAATAATGTGTTTGGCACACACTTGGCATGTAAAGGGTTCTAATACACTTACCCCAGTGCACCTCACACACTGGCATTGTTATTTGTAACTAATAAACATGCATCATTTTCTAGTATTACTGAGAGTTAATGTATGAAAAACATTTTACTTTGTGCAATGATTCACCAAATGTGAATATTGATGTTTTTCAGTCCAACACATGTATCTCTTGTGTCAGACTGCTGCTAAAAACATGCATTACAGATTTTTACAAAATGTAAAAATGTTTTCAACATTTATTCACAAAACTACAAATTTTAGCAAAATAAATCCAAACTACAAGATTGAGCCTAAAATAGCCAAGCGGTGACTGTTGCTGAGGTTTTACAGATCAGCTATTTTCGCTTCTGATTTTTTTCGCTAACATTCTGAGTTTACTGAATAGCACTCTTTTAGAGAGTGTTAATTTGCCGTGGTATACGTAAATGCAGAATAAGGAAGAATTCCTTTTCTACCTTTTTTATTGGACTAAGAAATTTGTAGTGATGAGCTTGAAGTAACTCCTCCCTTTATATACATTTATGTGTAACGAATTTGTAGACAGTATCATACATTAAATGGTACAATTAAAGGTTAAATTTAAAAACATATTACATTTCAAATGTTAAATTTCAAATTCACTTTGAATTTCCCAACAATTCTAACTTTAGTGAATAATTGTTGATGCTTAAAGTGGTTCAACAAGAGCCATACACCATTTGGCACATGGCATCCAGACTGAACATATAATTTGTGTACATGGTACCCACACACTACATACACCTTCATCACATACACTATTCAGAGCACCAGCCTAAATTTGATCCATTGTACATATGGTACTACAGTGCAGTCATAACATAGCACCCACAATACTAGCAGGGCCCCCTTAACAGCCAGTGCTACACTTACTGTACCCACCTGACACCTGATAAACGTATCACATACCCACATTCAAAACACCAAAAACATATCACCAGCATGACACCCATAACATAGAAACCACATGGCTTTCATAAGTGGACTGACAAGAAGAACAACGTGATAGAACGTAAAACAATTATCTATACTTGTTCATGTTGCTATGTGGTATTGACTTTTTATGATGTGTGCCATTATTCCTCACCAGCCGCATACCAGTGGTCTATTACATACATTATTGCATGCACGCATTTCACTTAAAAAAGATACCACTAGCAAAATAAAACTGCAGCTTATTAATAGTTAAAGGGGCACTATAGTCACCAAAAGAACTACAGTTTATTGTATTTGTTCTGCTGAGTATAATCATTCCATTTACGCTCTTTGTAGTAAACACAGTTTTGTCAGAGAAAAGGCAGTGTTTACATTACAGCCAATGGATGCCTTAGGAGATGCTGATTGGCCAGAGCTGTTTTTGGCTTGTGCTGGCTCTGCCCCTGATCTGCCTCCTTGACACTATCAGCCAATCCAATGGGAAAGCATTGTGATTGGTTCAGATCATAACTTCTGATGATGTCAGGCAAACAGGCAGATTGAGGGCAGAGCCAGCAGTTCCAGACTGAAATAAAAGTAAGATTTTACTATATTTAATTTTAGTAGAGGGGGGGGCGGGAGTTCAAGGAGGGTAGATGGTGTTTTTAACACTGTAGGGTCAGAAATAGCTGTTTATGTTCCTGACCCTATAGTGTTCCTTTAAAGAAAGCAGTTTAAACTGATGCTCTTATGGTCTACTCAGCCATAGAGATTATAACATGTAAGTTTAACGTTCACATTTATCCTTCTAAATCTGCCCAGTCCTAAGCATCAGTGATAGGCTGATTGCAACAAGGGCTCACAGCTTGTCATTTCACTCAAGGATGGTTGGATGAAATACAACGTCTCCATTATCATTGCTGTGACTGCGGAGGAGCTTGGCTTTAAGTGCCGCCACCTGGATATGGTTTGCTAAGGAAATGTCACCCAAAAACGCCTTGCACCATGAACACAACAATTAGCCCACGTGGCCCATACTTTCCCTGCTTTTTAGCTAAATGCAGTCAGGTTCTAGTTTTCCTCACTCTCAATTTAACAATAAATGCACTTTTGGCTCATACAGCCATTAACCCTGATAATCTTTACATCAAGTCAGAAATTCATTCCATTCCTGTAACCTACTACGAACCTACCACGATCGTAGGTAATGGATCATAGGTAGTAAAAGTAGTAAATCCCCATAAGGACAGCTTTCAATACTTTCAATAGCATTTATGCAGCCAGCCTTTTACATGGTTGCTACATTAAATGTATACAGGGAACATTGGAATTGGAACTTAGATGTAACAACATAGAAACATAGAATGTGACGGCAGATAAGAACCAATCGGCCCATCTAGTCTGTCCAATTTTCTAAATACTTTCATTAGTCCCTGGCATTATCTTATATCTAGGATAGCCTTATGCCTATCCCACGCATGCTTAAACTCCTTTACTGTGTTAACCTCTACCACTTCAGCTGGAAGGCTATTCCATGCACCCACTACCCTCTCAGTAAAGTAATACTTCCTGATATTATTTTTAAACCTTTGTCCCTCTAATTTAAGACTATGTCCTCTTGTTATGGTAGTTGTTCTTCTTTTAAATATAGTCTCCTCCTTTACTGTGTTGATTCCCTTTATTTATTCAAATGTTTCTATCATATCCCCCCTGTCTCGTCTTTCCTCCAAGCTATACATGTTAAGATCCTTTAACCTTTCCTGGTAAGTTTTATCCCGCAATCCATGAACCAGTTTAGTAGCCCTTCTCTGAACTCTCTCTAAAGTATCAATGTCCTTCTGAAGATACGGTCTCCAGTACTACGTACAATACTCCAAGTGAGGTCTCACCAGTGTTCTGTACACTGGCATGAGCACTTCCCTCTTTCTACTGCTATTACCTCTCCCTATACAAACAAACATTCTTCTAGCATTTCCTGCTGCTCTATTACATTGTCTGCCTACCTTTAAGTCATTAGAAATAATCACCCCTAAATCCCTTTCCTCAGATGTTGAGGTTAGGACTCTATCAAATATTCTGTACTCTGCCCTTGGGTTTTTACATCCAAGATGCATTATCTTGCACTTACCCACATTAAATGTCAGTTGCCACAGCTATGTCCATTTTTCTAGTTTACCTAAATCATTTGCCATTTGGCTTATCCCTCCTGGAACATCAACCCTGTTACATATCTTAGTATCATCAGCAAAAAGACATATCTTATCATGAAGACCTTCTGTAATATCACTAATAAGAATATTAAAGAGAATGGGTCCAAGTACAGATCCCTGAGGTACCCCCCAATAGTGACAAGCCCAAGCTTCGAATATACTCCATTGACTACAACCCTCTGTTGCCTGTCACTCAGCCACTGCCTTACCCATTCAACAATATTGGAATCCAAACTTAAAGATTGCAATTTATTGATAAACCTTCTATGTGCAACAGTGTCAAACATGTTTAGAACAGTGTATCATGTTTAGTGATGTGGAACTGCTTTTATAATCATATTAAAGTATACTACAGACATTTACAAGGTTATTTGCTAAAGTGGGAATTGTCAGTGACTGAGAGTGAATTTCAAATTTTACTCCAATAGCCAAACTGGAAACTGACTTGGAGAATATTTCCAGTTCAGCTATCTTTGCCTTAAATTAGAAATTCAATTTAAATTCACTCTAAGTTCCTGTTCAAATATTATTTCAATAAATAACTCTCACAGTTCTAAAACATAAAACATACGTAACTGAAGGTGGCCATTGCTCACTGGTTTGAGCACATATAAAACACTTCAAGTGTCTCATTAAGAACAGACAATGTGCATGTAAGTAAACATTGAACACATCAAGACATCCAATGTATACTGGACACATTGCAGGGAATCTTTAAAATTCAGGCAATGTGGTAATTTACTTTCTATCAGTCAATACATATCTCTTTGCACTCAAAGGAGTCTTCTGCTTTTTGTTTTAAACCACTCAGAATCATTATAATCTTTTTTCATAATCTGTAACTGACCTTTCTGGCATTGTCACAAATTATCTTTCAAAGGACTAAAAGTTTTGATGAGACTTAAATGGATAATATAGGCATCAGACCAAACTTAAGCTTAATGAAGCAATTTTGGTGTATAGACCATGCCCCTGCAGTCTCAATGCTCATTTATCTGCCATCAAAAATCACATTTTTATTTCTGTTTAGGTAGCCCTAAACACACCTACCCTGGCTGTGAATGACACAGCCTACATAGCAAAAGAGGTTCATTTCAATCAGAAGCTAACTTAGTTTATAAGTTTTTATCTCCTGCTCTATGAGTTACGCTTTAACCACTAACAAGAGGCTCCTGCAGGGTCTAGAAGGCTATTATAAGAACATGAGATAAGAAATTCTAAATTAAACAGACTATGTAATAAAGTAAGTTTAAAATATTTGGTCGCATTTTACATAAAGTGTTTAGGAATTCACATGCATGGAGGTGTGACTAAGGCTTCATAAACAAAGTGATTTAACTCCTAAATGGCAGATAATTGAGCAGTGAGAATGCAGGGGCATGATCTATACACCAAAACTGCTTCATTAAGCTCAAGTTGTTTTGATGCCTGTAGTGTCCCTTTAACTGGCTGTATGCAGCTTTTCCAGAGGTCTAACTTAACCCACTCTACTGATCATAACACAGAATGATCCCTAATCCTTGGCTCTCATATTCCCACAGAGACCTTAGCTGCCTTACTATCATTTTACTATCTTTTACTTTGACTCTGACTCACTGCTTCCTTGATAGCAGATAACAGAAATGTCCATCTGGAAAGTCTGTTTTCTAATTGCTTATAGTCTTTAGTCTCTTCTCATGTGCCCTTAGGGAACATTCTCAGTTATTTGGGAATATAAACAAAAATCGACACATGGGAGAGCTGCATGATATTAGTTACAAAGTTGGAACTTACAGTATATACTCGAGTATAAGTCTAGTTTTTCAGCACATTTTTTGTGCTTAAAAACACCCACTCGACTTATACTCGAGTCACTGTCTGTATTATGGCAACTTAGAGAGCCGCGGCCGTCAGAGCCGTGGCAACGATCCGCGCGGCAACCAGACCGCGAGACTTACAGTGGAGCTGACCGGAACGGAGGAGAAAGGAGCTGACAGGAGCTGCAGGAAATGTAAGTAAATGCTTCCTGCCGGCCCCCCCACTTCACAGCCCATGCCACTGGACCACCAGGGATTAAGATAGCCCCCCTCCCTGACCGGTTAACAAGCAGGGAGGGGGGACAAAAAAAATTAAAATAATGAAAAAAAAATAATATTAAAATAAAAAAAATTTAAATAATAAAAATGCCCTCCCCCCACCCAGTTCACACACACTACACAAACATACACTCTTCATTATATACACACTCTGCATTATATACACAGAGTCTGTGTATATAATGTAGAGTGTGTGTTTGTATGAGTGTGTGTGTGTGTGTATATAATGCAGAATGTGTGTTTGTATGAGTGTGTGTGTATATATAATGCAGAGTGTGTGTTTGTATGAGTGTGTGTATATATAATGCAGAGTGTGTGTTTGTATGAGTGTGTGTGTATATAATTATAAAAATCACAGAATTTCATAGCCCCAAGTTTTACCCTCGACTTATCCACGAGGCATAGCATATTTCACAATTGTTGGTCACAAAACTGCACTCGACTTATACATGAGATCGACTTATACACGAGTATATACGGTACCTCCTATTCGAAGATCTTTTATCAGAGATAAATATCAATATACAACAAGTAAAAATCTAAAATAAATGTATAATATATAATATTTTTTTTATTTATAATGCTCTATAGGGCACTACCTATTAGCCCCCTCCACTCCCCCCTCCTCACACACACACACACACACACACACACACACGTTTTGCAGAAAACCTGCAACAAATTATTTTTACTTACCTGGAATCCAGTGCTGGGAGAAGCACCTGGCACTGTCTTCCGTGACTCCACCCGACATCCTCACGTGGTCCAATCACAGACTTCACATAGAGAAGCTTGTGATTGGAATGTTTCACAGCTCACAGCACATGCTAAGGTGGCGAGAGGAGACAGGGAAGGAGTGGCGAGATGAGACAAGGAGGCGGGAGGGTTTAGAATATTTAAGGAAAAAGGGAGGGGGTATTCAGGTTTCCCCTTGAAGGCTCTGCCTGCAAATGGAAGCTAAATACGCCCGTTGCTGGCATGCTCTGATGATGGATGTATTTTATGCACAGAGTTGATATTAGGCAGGCCGGAGTTCCTAAGGGTGTAACTATACACCGACACACAAGTGCAGCTTTGCACAAACAGATTTTTAAAACCATGACCACTTCAATTCACTGAAGTGATCATGGTGGTTGGAGTAACCCTTTAAGGATTAGAACCAGTAACTGTAAAGAAGCTGAATATGTGTACCAACGAATACAGACACAATGTAACAATGTAACTCATTTTTAAAGATGGAATGTTCATTTTATTGTAACATGGATTTATGAACAATGGAAAATAAATGATACAGAGCCTGCTAAACATGAGTCAAAGTGACTAATCTAACAGTAAAAGGACAGATGTTTTTTTGTTATCTATCTTGTGGATCAAGAAATGTCAAGTAGAGGAGCAAAGCTTTGCCTGTTACTTAGCTGCTGCATTAAATTCACTTTTGGCCCAGTAACTTTACATCTGCTTAATCGTTTGTTATATTCCATGGCTATGATACTGTTAAAGGGTAATGTACACAGTGCATTACTTACACTACTATGTGTCTATACCATGGAAATTAAAGGGGAACTGCTACTTGTCTGGAATTTATACCATTGAATAAACATTGAAATTCACTTATACATATGTTAACCTTTATTTCATGTGAATGTGATGTTCTGGTTTCTTTAAATTAATATGAAATATTTACAGGGTTATTCACTAACATGAGACTTCAATGTTAATTTCAAATTAGATTTCAAATTTAAGGTTAAATTAACTGAATTGGGGGAAAAAAGGTACCCTACACTGTAAGCGCGTCTAAGCAGGGTCATATTTATTTCGAGTAGTGAAAGCATACTGTTTATATGTTGTATTTGAAATGAATGTCTTTTCTCTTTTGAGAAATCTCTTAGAGATCAAAAGATGTCTGGAGTACCTCTTAGCTAAATAAATAAAGCATTAGTAGGTAGCATACACTTATTAATATTAGCATTTAAAAAAAATATAATTCTTTATTTTTGATGTGCATAGTAAAAAACAAAGGTTGCATCACAGGCACATTAATTTTTAGAAATAGAATTAAACAGATTCATCACATAATGTATACATAATAAAAAAAAAAACTGTACTTTTTCTTTTCAATAAAATAAAACAAGATGACCAGTGGAGGGCTTGTACAATGAAAAAAGTAAGAGAGACTTAGTTTAAACGAGGTTATGAGTGTAGAAGTGAGTATAAAAGATTATAAAACAGGAGACACCCTGAAAAGAGACCCCAAGATTAAAACAAATTGAATGATGCTGGTACGGAGCCACTCATGCAGTCATCCGACTCCCAGTCTGCAAGTTTGCATCCTGGGTTCATCTGCAAGGTCCCAGGGTGAATGTCCAAACAAGCTCCAGCAGGCCTAGTAGACTATTCATGAAGTTTCACGTATGTTGCAGCCGTCATCTTGGGATGTCAGAGAGATCTACGCGTTTCTGGGCCCAGGCCTGATTCCCATCCCCCTACCTCTGTAAGGTATGGGAGGTTATTATCAGCCCGCTTGAGCCAGGTTGGTATAGCTGTCTGCATGCCTGTAGACCTGGTGAGTGCCCCCCAATAGGAACACTCAGCGCTGTAGAGGCCTGCTGATCCACCTCCCATTGGTGACCCTGAGTAGATGATCGCTTTCTCTGTACCATGTCTGCCAGATGGGACTAGAACTCCAGTTTGGACAGTGTAGATTCAATGTGCATTATTCCCAGATTTCTATTATTGGCATTTATATAGAGCCATCATATTCCACAGCTCTTTACAATTATAGAAAGGGGATATTGTCCCTGTCAAAACAAGCTCTCAATCTATGAGTATTTGAGGTAGGTAGCAATATATTGTGAGTTGTCCTTGTCCAAGCTTACTTACTAGCAAGATGGTCTGATCAGGATTTGAACCTGCTTTTAAGACTTTGACATTACCACGTTCAAACAGTGGCTAAAGCATTCTGATGTTCAATTGTTTGTTAAATAGTGTTTGATATAGGCTTTTTCTCTTTTATGTTGGATAAAAAGTATTCATGGTACTGGTTTAACTAAGTATCACTTTAGATGTGTTTATTAGGATGAATATAGAAGGAATTGTTAAAGTGACAAGTGCTCTGTGAAGTACATCTGAACAATAAGTAAAAAAAAAATTGTAACAAAACTATTAATTATTTCTAAATTTAGCAAACTTCCCAGCATAGTTATAAAGCTATGGCATTTCCATTTATCTTAGATAACACATTTTATCATGGAAAATGCTTAAAGAGAACCCTTAGTCCTGGAAATAATATTCAGGTTTTTGTTCCCTGCTATCCCATTTTCTATTCAAAAATGTAATTTGCATGAGGATGTTGGGCTGTTTTTTTTTTGTTTTGTTTTTAAATTCTTTATTTTTCAAGTGCAAGATTTATGCATGCAGTTATTGCCTCTGATGTTCGAAATGTTAGTCACTTACATATGTACATTATGAGATGTTGTTAACATAGCACTTATTTTTATTTTTTTAAGAGACTGGTCAAACTGGTGTTTTAACATTTGTCACTAGAAGGTAAATATGTCCCTCATGGGTCGGTTGACTATACGGCTAGTTAGTCTCTGCATGTATGTCGCATCTTTTGTGGCTGCTTGTGAGTTCGGCTGAGTGGTGCATGTTGTTGCGAGTGGCGGTGGTCATGCGATGTCGAATGTGCTGCGTGCAAGGGGTTAAGTCTTGTCTTTAACGGGGTTCCAGATTAGGGTATTCTATCTGGAGATGCGCCGCGTGAATATGTGTGTTTACCTCATCGGTGTGGTGTGGGGGCACTGTTGTGTGGCTGCTTGGTAGGTCAGTAGGGTCTATGTTAGAAGCTGCCATTTTATGGGCAACAAGAGCCCAGTCTGGGCGGGGTTTGATGTGTCATGGTTGGTGGATGTCCCCTAACCTAGGTGGACACTGGGGGGGAGATGCTGTCGCTTATTTCTGTAGTGGTTGTAGTGGATGTTATACGTGGCGGCTCCTGTTTAGTGCAGGGGCCCGCTTGATGCGCATTGGATGTGCCGGTTGGGGTCCTAGTAGTAGGTGTCAGTTGGGGGGATTGTCGGTGGGTGGTCGTCTCGTGCTTGTCGCCTGTATGGCAGGTGTTTAAAAGAGAAAGGTAACGTAGAAAATAAACTTAAACATAGCTTCTGATAGGTGGGGAAACAAATGTGAGCATGGTTATAAGAACTTATTATCTAAACTTGACAGTTTATTAGGGTATGCTGCGAATTGGTGCAGTCCTTTCAGGTCGGAGCTTCTGGTTGTGTGCCCCCTCTGGATGTGAAGGTCACGGCTCTCCCTGGGTCCCAGGTGTGTGAGGTAGAGGGGGTTGTCACTGTCGCCACTGCCGTGGGGAGCCCCAGGGCCCGGAGGAAGGAGTCTGCGTCTGCTAGGGTGGTTAGTCTCTTCGTGTTGCCCTACTTGGTTACTGTGAGTTCGTGGCAATGTCCATCTATATTCTATACCTGCGTTGTGCAACTGGCTGGTTACCGGTCCCAGTGAGCATCTCCACAGCAATGTGTTGCATGTTATATCCTGGTAGAAGGTAAGTTAACTGGATTCAAAAGTGAGCAGAGTTTTACCCCGGACTGCCGTCATTAGGAGGGCCTTGTCAGTGGACGAGTGGCATCTGACTATGACCTTGTGTGATGCTGTTGGTGGAGCTTGTCTCAGTTTTGAAGTGCAAAAGAATCCCTCAAAGGTGAGTTTCTTGGCCTGGATGTGCGGCAAGAGTGAGATGGTGAGTCGCCTGAGATAGTGGGGCAACTCTGTTATACCGATGGAGTCGGGTATACCCCTGATCTTTATGTTTACCCGCCTGTGGCGGTCTTCTACCGTGTCAGCCCTGCTCGTTAGGTTAGCTTGGGAGCATTGCAGTTGGAGTATGGATTCCTTGAGGCCTTGTACCTCTTGTCTTAAGTCCAGTATGTCCTCCTCAGAGGCTTGAGTGCGGGTTGTTACTGCTGTGATTTCTGTCTTCAGCAGCTCAAGGTCCGCTGCATGTAGCTGCCTCATTTCCAGTAGAAGCTCTGCTATGTTCTGTCTAGTTGCTGGAGTCAGGTTGTTTTCCCTTGCCGGTTCTGTTTGGCATTGTCGGGTGTTTAGGGGTTCTAGATGCTCCCCGGTGGGTCCCTCAGAGCCTTCTGAGCCAACAGTGTATTCCGGCTCGGCCGCCATTTTTGCAGCAGCAGGGCTCTGTTACATGGTGCTTATGTCTTGTGAGTCTTTGCACGCACCTGATTGTGGTTTTTGGGATTTTCTACCCATGGTGTTCGGGTCTTGTTGGGGCTGCTGGACTATAAATTCTTTTTTAGATTGTTACTATTTACTGGATGACGGAACCAGGGTTAGATTGCACCCAATAAGTGTTAATAATATTATTAGGGTTTTTTTTTTACTAGTTACATTTTTTTTACATGCAATTTGCACACAGACTGGATTTCATGTTGTTACCTCAAAGCCACATATAAAAAACATTAAAATCACACAAAAGGAAGAGTCCAGTGGTCTGTGGACCTGTGATATGATTACTATGTTATGTCACACATCTAGTCCATAACTAATATGATGATGGAATTCTAGGTTCAACTTCTCTCATTAAACCCATTAAATGTTCAACTACAGGCCCGTGAAAACCCCAAACCAGCACTGTTTTGGCATTTGCAGGTTCACAATAGGAATACCTTCATATAACAAGTATTATTTGACTTTTTCAGAGTCCAGAAAATACAAATAGTTTGTTAATGCCTGTTTATGGTTGTACATCTGTGCACTGTCTTCTGGGCTGTTTATTTACAGGTTTTGTGTATACTATCTTGTGTTTTATTGGCTCTGTCCTCTGTGTTTTCTTTGTGGTCTTACATTCCGTTGAGATAAATAGTTGGACATAATGGTAAATCTTAAGGGATATCTTCTATTACTTTACTGTATAATTGTCATACTTCAGTTTAAAAATGTGTCCAATGTTATTGCAACTGTTGGCTTGTGTTTACATAATAATCTCTGTGTGCGTCTTTCACGGACATTGTGTTTTATTTTAAAAAAGACTAGCTTACTATTTTACACAGTTTGAAGGGAAAGGAGGTTTATCTATTAAAAGTCAAAAGAAAGGTTTCAGGTTTGTAATTGTTATGGGGGTTGGAGTTAGCCCATAGTGTTCCTTTAAATGCTCTGCCACTAGCGTGTTCCTTTAATTGGTTAAACCAGGCATAATCAACAGTTGAGGCTGGATTCCATACACATATGTGCATTGTAAAACTCTAAATTCAAAGTAGTTGAATGGAAATTTTCTCCAATTTAGCTATGCTTCAAACTCACTTTGATCTTTTGAAACTTCTCACATTAGTAAATAACCGTGTTAAATGTAGGGTGAGTATTGAAGGAATACACATGGTGTGTCTCACGTGATGTATGCATGTAACGTGCAAAGACAACACATACGTTATATGATCTGATTCAGATTCAGATTTGAAAATTATTGAAAGCAGTGTCAATTCTCTTATCTGCTATTATAATTGTGCAAGGAGATGATATGCACTATGTTTCAAAACTCATTGTATATCAAGTCTGACCTTGAGGTCTGATGCTATATAGTTGAGTTGCAAATCTATCAAAGAGATTTGAGAGCTAACATTTTTGAATTCTGAATTGTCATGTTTATAGTGAAATTAACAAACATTTCAAAATAACAAATTTGTTAAGCTAAATCACATTCAAATTTACCTTTGCTTTTAATAAGTGATGGATGTTCAACAAACAGTAGTCATAATTTTATACTACCTATATTAAAAATATATATTTTTGGTGAATTACATTTTATTTGGCAATGTTAAACAAGGCACAGCATGTCAACTTGACATATACCCATTTCAATCAAAAAAGATGAATGGCTTACAAAACGAAAGTGAGAAAAAGAGGTAGGAAGGAAGAGAAGAAAAACAGTTATAGTAAAATAAAATCCAACAAATAAGGAACTTTAAATTCCGAAACAATGCAACAACTAGTTGCATATGGAAAATGGACTCACCTGGTGGGAAATAATGACTACAATCTCTAGACTAAGATTGACATGTTTAGTATTATTATTATTATTATTATTATTATTTATAAATCATTGATCTTCTTGACAAATGTTGGAAGTGCAAAGATTGTGTGAAACAAGAAAGTGATATATTGACCTGTCAAAGTTTCCAAAGGTAAAAGTCCAGCTGTGTTCTCAAGTATCGTATTGATTTATTGTTTAAAATGAAACATCTGTATGTTAAACTGGAAGCAAATTATTAGCCACTTAATATTAATTATTTATTGTTTAAAATGAAACATCTGTATGTTAAACTGGAAACAGTGGGTAAGAACCTATTTAAATAATGATAATGTTATAAAATTAATTGAGTACCCATTCTAAGCACTCTGAAAACTATTTGTGTACCACACCATCCTCTTTGAGTCTTAGTCACCCAGACATTTTTATTGTATGTTTGTTTCTTTCTAGCTTCTTCAGGTTAAATAATTTGTATTGAGTTATCTCTTCCAGCAAATAAACCTATTTCTTTACACTCAGCTAGCAGTTGCTATTAGATATGGTATTTACTGTCGTTGATCCGTGACTGCTGTTACCTAATTTTCTTTAGTATTTTTTAGTTTTATTTCTCTACTTATCCTTCGCTTGATGATTGTGTTTTGTATTCATATCTAACTAGCTTTATATTATCACTATTACTAAAAAGATACCTCAAAATCCGAGTCTAAAGATTGCCAAGAACGATTGTAATGCACAGGGCCTCTCAGGAACCCAGCACTGGGCAACCATCTGTCCCTGAGGTTGAGCCCTCAGTTTGCATTGGCCATATCTGCTGGATTTTGTAAACTGGATAAATGTTAGGGAATTAGAGAGAAGTACATAGCCAAGGTCAGATCTACTCCAGCATTGTACAGTACACGAGGACAGAGCATAAGAAGAAAACAAGACAAAAGAACAAGGTAACATAAACTGTGAAGTCAAAACCATTCATCAGGATTAGGGTAACAGTATGGACAAAGCACATTGGTTCCAATGACGTAGCACAAAGGGAAATTAAATGCGGGCATTACTATTGTGCTCTGATATGTATTATGTGATGACCATAATTTAGCCATTGTATAGCACTACCTAAAAAATAATATTTGTAATAATAATACAGATATATGTACCTCCAGCCTTAAACTAGTACAAGTCTTAAGAACCTGGATAGAGAATGCTGTCCTCACAATCTTTATTAACATCTTGCAACTCAACATTAAAAAAGAACAGGAGATCACAAGGAGTGGAAATGCAACATTAAAGTTGCATCCTATCTTACAGACATATAATGCGTACAACTTCAGTAACTTGTGAATTTGCATAACATGGTCATTAATTACTCATAATTGCAGACATTGATGAGTATAAAAATAATATGTGCACTTGAATGTGTTTGCAGTGAAATGTTTTTGTAAATGTCTTATTTATTGATAGAAAACGTTTTAAAAAATGTATATGGTGGGACTTGCAGGTCCCGATCATGTTGTGAATAAACCAAGACACAAAGGTTTCCAAGCAAACAGTAAGATAAGGCACTCAACAAAAACAGAAATAGTAAACGCATAATAGATATCAAGAGATTGCAGTGGCATTTTTGTATTTAAATGATTTCATTATTTTTATATTCTTTCACATTCTATTAAGCTTCTGTTTTCAGACTAAGACCTCAGCTAGTGATTCCAACATGTTATTTGTCTTGACAGCTCCAGAGTGCTCTTCGAGTGGACACCAGATTCTGCAGAATCCATACCGAAGTCTAGACTTTGATTCCATGAAACTTCAGCAATCTGCCATTCATGATTTGATTTGTGACCACTCCTTGGCTCCAGGATGGTACCGCTTTATGATATTTGATAAACCAGCTGAGATGCCTACCAAGTGCGTGGAGGTATTGGTGCAATTGATTTTGATTCTAAATATTAGCACTTGGTTTTCCAAAGACATGTTGTGTAAATGTGTTATTTAAAAAAAAAAGCTTACATTTATATTATTATATATAAAGCATCAATATAGTCCATGTGGCTTAGACGTAAAAATACATTCAAATGGACAAGCTTTAATTGCCTAAGCAAGAGGTAGTGAATGTCCTGTTTAAAAACACTTACAAACAAAATGTCATGGTGTAAAAATATAAATATGTAATAGTAGATTATATATCAAATGGATTGCTAGGTGTAATAACACTATAGGTCTGAATTCTACTAGAAGAGATAAACTTAATGCTGGTAACTAAATACTAGTTATTTCATTGACATCTATGGGAAAACAGCTGTTCAGTTACCAGGGATAATCTTGTTCTGGAATCTAGCCCATCATCTGTAAACATTATATTATTTGAGTGCAAGAGAAAGAGAAACATATATAATATACATATAAAGGTCAGGTTTAAGGGGGAAACAATGGAAAAAAAATTAATAAAAACCTCTATTATGCCAGCAATATTGGACGCCAACCCAATATACCCACTCAATCTCACAACTTTATGCTACACGTCATTTTTTATTTTTGCACAATAAAACAGGATTGTCTGGTAATTTTTATCTATTAAATTTCCATGGAACAATATCTTCAGGTACTTAGTCACAAGTAAACTTATGAGCTTAGGATGGACATGTAGATCCTGCAAATGCAATGAGAAAGGAATCGCTCTGCTTACTGAATAGACATCAATGGAGGAATAGATATTCATGTGAGTGGAGTAAACCCAAATCCTTCTTAGAGAATCCAGCCATCAATGTTTATTAGTCTGTCAGTCCTGTGTTTTTGTGCTGTTTGCACTTGTTAATTTGCAATTTAGAGAAGGGAAAATTAATCAACTATGTTAGTCAGTAAAGATTCTTATAGTAAGAACAATAAATAACTATCCCATGCAGATTAATGCTGTCCTATGTTTTCTTTATTTTTATATTGTCTTTCTTATTATCTTTATTTTTCGTCTTCCATCCCTGTCATAGTCCGTCCCTATATCTCTTTTGTTCCCCTTTTGCTCACACCCCATATTTATTTTTCTTTCCCCCCCCCCACCTGGAACTACTTGCTGATAAATCTTCTATTCTGTCTCCCACTTTTTTGTATATCTTTATAATTTTTTATCTTATCTGTACCTTACTCTAAACTTCTTTAAAGTCTGAATAAATAGAAAAAAATGATAAATGAAAGAGGAAGGTTGTTCTATGAAGACAGGTAAGTAAGGCACGTTTCATGTAGGAAGGACATCCCAGTACCACAATACCTGGGGCAGCTGGATCCAAAAAATACATTAAAATTGATTCCTTTATTCATGTAGATGTTATTGCTAACAGTAGCTTGTTGGTCCAGTTATTTAAATTAAAAAGATTTACTACCCCTCTCGGAAGTTACAATGAAAGTTGAATCAATCATGTTTCTTTTTTATGTATTTTAGATGATTAGCAGTAGCAATGTTGGACTTAATGGCCTTGCTGTCTTTTTCCAACCTATTCACATATAACTTACACACATACAGGGGATTCTGCAGATCAAAGGCACAAACTATTAATTCATTTATATCAATGGATTAACTGATGGATTTAAATACAGTGAATCGTAATGCAATCCCTGTTTAGGAATGTTTTAATGTACGATAAGGATAATTCCTGCAATAATTACATTTGACAAAGGGATATAACTGTATGTAAATAGAGAAATAAGCCTTTGATATCCGTTTTAACTCTGTTCTTTAGAGAGTTTCCCATGTACATTTGGCCCCATGCCAAGTAAACGGCTGACTCTTTTTTCTTTCAATACAGATCACTTCTGTACTAAGTTTTGGTATTCCATCTCTAAAGAAATATATTTTACAGAAGCTGTCAGAGAGAACATGGCATTTAAACGTTGGAAGCCCATTTGTGGGTGATATTGTATTAGCAAAATAGCCTTTTTCACATTAGGACAAAGTACCCTCGTCCTATCAGTTGGAACCTTTATTATTTAATTGTTCCAGTTCCCAAGGTTAGGATGCAGAATGCTGTGTAGCAATAATGCTTGTAGTGCTTTAGTATCCCCTGAAGTCTAGGACGTAATGCATTAGTGATACTATTGTCACAAATAAATAAAGAGATTAGTACCATTTTATAGAGTATATGATGTACAATCCACCCCCTCTGCTCCCCCCACACACACGCACACACACCTGGTTTCTCCTCAGCTTCTATCTCATTCTTATTGTTCTCTTCCAATCCATATCAGAACATAATTTCAAATATTACCTCCCTTTTATCTCCAGTATCCAATTATTTCTCTTCTTCTCTTCTTTGGTGTCTTTCTCCATAAACCCTTCCTTTGTTCTTCCACTTTGTTTTATTTCTATCCTTATGCCTCGCTCTTTTCCCTTGCACTCATGTTTTTCTCCCGCTACCCTCAATATTTTTCTACAATTCAGCTTCTTCCAACACATGTCTCACTCTCTCCAAAACCTTCCTCATGTATCTCCCCCATTCTTTTTTCTCCCACTATGCTCCAGCGTGACTATTTATCCACCTTTTTTTCACCAAGATCTTCTACAATCACCTCTTCCCCAGTGCTATCAGGTTATTATTTCCTTCCAAAACTAGATGCATGGATAATAGCAGATTATGCTGAAATTCTACTTATCATCTGAGTGGCAGTTGGGGACAGAACCACGGTTGCTGGGAGAACCCTGTTTTCAAAGAAATATCTAAATTGCACCCATGATCCTTTGCACTGCAATAAGAAGTTGTGGTTATGACTTACTGTGTGCCCCATAACTGAATATGTCAATCAACCTATGAATAAATTTACAAAACTATTGACATCCATGCAAATTCTTCAGAACCTCATAGTTAGAGCTCTATTTTGGATGAACAAAACTGCAGAAGATACAGTGGTAATATTGATATTGAATAGAATCCTGTTGGTAGTCATGTAGAAAACCCAGGCAAATTAGGTTTGAATCCTAATAACATTTAAATAAACAGTACCATGCTTCCTACTCAAAAAGTAGCTTCCCACAAAAGCAATAGTAACACACGTATGTCTTGTGACCCTGTCATTGTCTTATCTTTTACTGCTTATATTAAGGTTAAAAGGCTGACATACTCAGTACCTTCCCCTTTCAGGAGATGTGGCTTTAATCTCACCCATCATTAATTAAACTTAGAATTCCCCTTAAAAAAAACACATTCTGGTGTGCTATTTGCCCTTACTTTTAGCTTTTCTTATCTGCCATCGGTTCTATTCTTCTTTTTCTCCCTTCTTTTTTTTAACCATACTTACTACTTGAAATAGTTTTTGATGTCATTCCTGATAGTTGTCTTTCATTGTCTAGAGTTGACTGTAAGCTCATGAGAAAAGAGCCCACACAGGTTCTTAGTTCTTTTTATAATTTGTTCAGTTGTCTCCTGTTTTATATCTCTGTAGAAAAACTGTTAACCATTATTACCGTTCTATAAATGCTGATAATGATACTTTAAATAACCACGTGAAACGTTTTTCTTTGTCACGACAATTTAGAATAATTTTGGTTTGATTCTGTACTTATGCTTATTAATAAAAAAAAAAAGCAAAATATAAAAATAAAAAATACACAATTAAATACTTACAGAGGGTGGCATTGAGAGCACACTGATAGTCAATGCAGAATGTGTTGCTGTGTGTAAGCAAGCAGCTTCTGGTTTGTACCGAAGAACAGTAAATATTGTTAATTTACTAAAGATGATAAATAATAACTTAGTCAGATGAAATGCTCAGTATATTGTTATATTGTTTTCTAGGCATACAAATTTCAGCATGCACTTTATACTTTTATACAAACAGATGTAGGCATTATTTAACTTTTCTTGAAAGTATGTAAGGACATATTCCTTACAGTAATCATCAAATAAATGTATCTACATTTCTCAACATTATTTACTAAACTTAACATAGATGCAAGTGTTATTACATACATACAGAATCTTAATGAAATGTAAAAATAACCCGCTCCAGTCAGCTTTGTGACCAGCAATCAGATGTGCCCTCTTGGGCTAACACTACTAAAAGAGTCTTGAAGTAGATGGTGTTTTCATGACCACATAGGAGTATTGTTGGTAAGTTCTAGACAAACAGAGCATGGACAGTGTTTTTGACCAAGTGACTACTAAAAAAGACTGGACATACCCCACTTGCAATACCTTGGTTTGTCTACTTTTGCAAATGGTATGCCATCATGGGGGTAAATCTCATTCCTGGGCTACCATACGGTCTCAAAGGTAACATTACTAATCTGGTACAAAACTGAAAAGTGAAATGTGCTATATTTCACCCTGTAACTTTCCAAAACACCATACAACCTGTTTATGGTGGGTACTTTTTTTTTTTTTTTTTACCCATGATACAAATATGTGCATTTTATTGCAGTAAAAGCTAACAGTATTTTGAAATTTACAGCTAAAATGTCAGGCTGAACTATAATTTTTTTTAAAAGAAAATCTTAATTTCTCACAGTTGTTTTTATTTTCTTCATAATAAATTATGTTTCATATATGAATAGTTCATAAAAAATTAAAGCCCTGTTTCTCCTGAACAAAATGATATATAATAAGTGTGGGGGCACTTAATATGAAAGAGGTGAATTACGGTTGAACAGACATATAGTGCAAATTCCAGTTTTTGTTTACATTTTGTTTTGATCAGAACGTGTACTATTGACTCCATCATGAAGGGGTTAAACAAATGTAAATATAAGTGAGCATTTATAAGTGAGAAGTAAAATTGTAGAAAATATATATTTTATTAACTATGTGGTTTTAAGCAAAGGGGAAAAAAAGTACCATTAGCCAAATATAAGGACTAGTGAAGTGAAATGTAACCGTTTTTATTTTCTTTGTCATAGATGAATCACTGTGGAACACAAGCTCCAGTATGGTTGTCCTTAAGAGATTCGGAATCTCTCCCTCCACCTGGGGAGATAAGACATCTCACAGCTTGTGCCACATGGCAGTTTTTCTTCAGCAGTACAAAGGATTGTTGCCTGTTTCGCATTCCTGTCACAGTCCGAAATTGTGGAGATTTCTTTGTTTATCTATTGCAACCTACCCAAGGATGCATGGGTTATTGTGCAGAAGGTAGAGATCTATTTTTATGTGTCAGTTTTTTTTGTTTTGTTTTTATTTTACCAATGAAAGTAAATCTGCTGAATCCATTAAATCCTTTTCAAATTTGTTGCTATGCGTGTGTTTGCACAAGGGAAATTGAAAAAAGCAAAGCTATATCACACTGAGATTTTCTATTTAGAAATTATGTAAACATTAAAGGTCAGAACATTAATCAATATTGATCATTTTAATGTCAAGTCAACTGTGTTGTCTATCTGGAAAACCTGTGACACTCTCATGCACAGACATAAAGCATTTAAGAAAAAGCACAATTGTTATGTGAGCATAACACAGTTGTCATGTGAGCATAACACAAGTGTCATGTGAGCATAACAGCATGCGTGAAATGAAGCCAATTCAGAGTCACAACATCAACTAATCACATAGAATCTATGTGTACTGACCCTAGAGCTCCCACCCAAGCAATGCTGTAAAACCTTATTAGAACTTTTATGGAGCAGAAGTAGTCTGAGCAATCAGTGCAACAAAACTAAAAATGCATGCTTCTAATCCGCTAAAGGGATTATGATCTAGAAAGAATTAAGATTTTATTCGCCCCAACCCTAAAATTAGGATGTACAACCATCCACATACATAACCACCAAAATTGCCTGAACTATTTGCCACGAGCATTCACTAATGACGCTAGAAACATCTAACAAAGTGAAGTTGTTGCGTTTGTGGGACCAGGTTTAGATGTAGCATGCCATGTGACTTGCCTTGCCGTCCACGTAAAGTACCATTTTAAAAATAGGTAGACTGAGGTTAACATCAGTGATGCACAAATTGCATTGATTGGGTCTAAAAAAAAAAAAAAGGAAGAATTTTTATGTCATTATAGTATAGATGTATAATTTCATGTTGTTTACTCTAGATTCTGATCCTACCAGGAAACATAATTCCAATCATAACTGTAACTGTGTTTTTCCATCTGTTTCAATGAGTCGGACCAAATTGTCTTTGACCCTTTTAACCTCTCACACTGGTGTTATATATTATGCCATAATCTTAAAATTCTAAAAACTGAAGTGCATTAAAATTCCACAAGGTCAACCTTGGTCAGAGATTTTGTAGGTCAAGTGTCTTAATACTATTTATCAAACAAAAAAAAATTACACTTCTTGACAATGTATTGTTTGTTAGTGCAACTTCAACCACACGAAGTTCGTATATGAAACTTGTCGTATACCTTCTTAAACAGATTGCTTCACTAGACATTCCCGGGTGTCAATGACTGAAAGTTTGTTGATATTTTTTATAGCATGGACATTAAATTTTGCTCTTTTTGTTATAGTTGTTTCCAGTACCACTGCTCGGTCAAAATGTGGTCCAGAGGAAACTAATATTAATGGAGTGTGCATAAGTAAGTGTTCAAGGTCTTATATCTTATATTATATCTGAATAAAAGTGTTACTCTAAAAATCATGTTTGTTACGCAAATTAAGGATAAAGTTGTGGACTTTCCTAACAAGACTTCAACCCACAAAGGAGAAGCTTATTACGGAATTCACAACAGACCTGTATGGACACTCCAGTTGTGTCCAGGGGCTTAACCCCTATGTAATGCTATCAATCAAAAAAGAGGAAAAAGGCTTAAATGTTGGGTATACAACTCCAGCAATTAAGCCTAAACTGGAAAAGTAGTAATATTGTAAATGAAAATAAATAAATCAAATGTTCATTCCAAATCTCCACTTACATACAAGTGTGCTACCCAAACCAAAATTGTGTTGACAGCCAACAAAAAGGGGCTATACCTTCCTCCTAACTTACTGTGATTGTACAATATCAATGACTATTTGACTTTATTATAATTTGTAGGGTCACAGTCTGTACTATATTATCCTTGTATTATCAAAACAGTCACAGAAAGGAAGTCCTGATTCTAAATAAATATGTCTATCCGAATAGACTAAAGTAATCAATTAAGTTTATCTCATAGTACTAGAGAAAATGCTCCAGAATAAAGTCAAAATAAAAAAATAAAAAAATGGGGGTTATATGAAATTCCTAGTGTATCCAGATAGTAACAAAAAATTGTTGATAGTTCAGCTAGTAAAATTCAACCCTATAAGGAGGATGTCACACTAGCGATTAACGAACATAAACGGGTTTCTACTACATTGTATAAGAAGCCCACTGCTACGAATAATTTTTTGAACTGGGACAGTTACCATCCTCCAGCATTGAAGAGAGGGATACCAGTGGGTCAATACCTAAGACTGAGAAGGAATTGCTCTACGTTAGATGAGTTTAAGCTTAAAGCACAAACTTTACGGACCCAATTTAAATCAAAAGGGTATCCAAATAAATGCCTAAAAAAAGCATATCAACGAGCCCTTCTCACTGATAGATCAGAACTACTATCAGACAAGACCCCGGTGGCAAGCCAAAAAATTTACGCAAATTGTATGTTTAAATAAGCAATATTGTCTTAGTGTTAATAAGTTTGTTAAAGCTATATTTTATTGGATATTTTTATCATTGCTTGATTTGGTGCTGTTAAAGGGAAACTCCAGTGCCAGGAAAACAATCTGTTTTTACTGGAACTGCAGGTGCCTCCCACCACCCATCCCCCGGTAGCTGAAGGGGTGAAAACCCCTTCAGGTCATTTACCCGAGACCTCGCCGATGTCCCTCGGTGGTGGTTTCTGCTCGCCGCCGCTCCTCCCTGTGATTACGTCAGCCAGTGGGCGAGACTGATCCCGCCCGCCGGCTGAGGAAACCTAATGCCGCGAATGCGCATTAGAGCTCTCCATAGGAAAGCCTTGAAAATGCTTTTCAATGCTTTCCTTTGGGGAATTGAGCGACGCTGGAGGTCCTCACATAGCATGAGGACATCCAGCGACGCTACAGCACAGGATTTCTGTGCTATAATCCAGGAAGTGCCTTCTAGTGGCTATCTAGTAGACAGCCACTAGAGGTGGAGTTAACCCTGCAAAGTAATTATTGCAGTTTATAAAAAAAACTGCAATAATTACACTTGCAGGGTTAAGAGTAGTGAGAGTTGGCACCCAGACCACTACAATTGGCAGAAGTGGTCTGGGTGCCTACAGTGTCCCTTTAATATCTCTCTAAAATAAGAGTATAACAAAATAAAAATAAATAAAGGATTGATTCACTAACTGTATACTAATATTACAAAGCATTACTTTCACCATACCCCGACAGACCATTGGTATCCCAAGAACACATTTGTGTGGGTGAAAACCATGCAGACCCTACCATGGCAATCATCATTATAACCCAACTCTGCCCTACCTTTAAGAGGAGCTCTGTTTTTACATATGTTATGGTTTATGGAATTTATTGTACTTATCGTCTCTCATCATGCTGATAATGTCTGCAAATCAGCATGTTTTTATAGAACATGCCATGCACAGTACTGCAGATAATGGAAATTAGATGCACATTATGTCCAGAAACAGTAGAAAGTATACAAATTACTATGATAATATTTTATAGTACAATGTTTCTAGTATTCACAATATTGGGGATACATTCGCTTTTATTGTTACAGATGGAAGTTTTGATTAAAAAAAAAAATAATAGTTATTTGTTTGTGGTTTTTTTAATTTCAGATAAATTAAACACAGAGACTTTATTACCAGAACCACCAGGAAACTTGGAAATTGTGTCTGAGATGGTTGGAACCAGTGTTAACCTGAAGTGTTCCTTCGATGCTCCTGCTACAAACCTCTCATTGGGATTTGTAATTAAATGGTCTAGATTTTCATCTAAAGGAGACAAGCTGGAACTGAGACAGGAAGCCTTAGTTCAGACATATTCTGTGATAGAATTAGATGGAATTAATGTGAGACTGGGAGACCGGGTAAGACCATGCCACTATATTTTGTGAGATCTCAAAATGTGCACTGTATAATTCAGCTTTCAAACTTTTTTTATTGTAAAAAGTAAATTTGAGATCATGCGTGATGACAGTTTTTAGGATACACACCCATCATTTTCAGTGAGGTCATGTTACACAGCATTTTCTTGATATATTATAATAGATTGGATTTTAACTTACAATTGCATTGTGATTTAGTTATTAATCTTTGGAGAAATAAGTTAACACAACAGCTGAATGCTAGTTCAGCCTTTGATGAGAATGCCTCTAAAGTTTGCCACATTTGTGTTTCTTTCCAGGACAGGGGTGGCCAAAAATCACATCACAGAATGTCTATGTTGCTTTTCCATTGAAATACAAACATCTGGCTATATTGAATTGTTGCTCACAGATTCCTAAATATTATGAGTCAGGTTATGTAATTGTAATTAGACTGTTATTGACAACAGTTGTGTGTTTTCCTAATACATCAATGTGCCATTAGACTTGGAGATTCATTTTCGTAAGAATCTTGATTCATCTAAATTTTGAGAGATCGGCAAATCAGCCAAAAATCTAAACACCAAGCCTACATATGACCTAATCAAGACTCAACTGAAATGGCCAATGGACTTGCAGCAGCATGAGATTAGATAAAAATTGTCTATAGGGGTCACTATGACCCCTACATTAGTACAAGGAAGTTTTATTATCTCCTCCGAGCCCCCCCTCACCATGCTGCAAGTGGTGGTATGTCTACTAACCAGCAAGCAGCCAGTGACTGCTCGGTGTATTAAAAGACTAGCGGCTGAGCAGCTATTGCTACCCAGTCACAATTAATGTAGGCATTGGGTGGTTTCTTCTGTTTAAAGAACTGGAGTTGGACATATTACTGTCCACCCCTCTGTATCCCCATAGTGGAGCTATCAATTAAGGAAACATAGTGTCCCCAGAGTCACCATAGGGCTCTATTAAATAATAAGGGTGGGAAATTCAGGGTTTTGACTAAACACGAATTTTGACGTGGACAAAATCCAGTGAAAATTACTGAATTGCAACCTCATTGGCAATTTACAGATTTACTAATACCAAATGCAGTCAGAATTCAGATGTCATGTCGGGGCATATGGAGGTAAAAATGTACAATATAATATAAGGGATGTATTGACTTTTATTTTATTGATTTTTATTTATTGAATTAAAAAAATGTTTTTTTTACTTCTTTAATGTGGTGGCTAGTAAGCAGTGGGCAGTGCCTACAATATTAACCCTTTACCACTGGGAGTTTTAACAATTTGCCAGCTAGCTGATATCGCTGCAAGAAGGCAGAAAGTTCTGATTTTTTTTTTTTTAAAGTTAAAGCCTTTCGGGACCAGATTTAATTAATTCAGTCTAGATTTCAGGCACCTGGTGATATATTCGATATGGCTGAAGTCCAGAGCAAATTCAGACCCGTTCTGGGCTTGAATTCCAAAATCCAGACATTTATGAATTTTATTAACAATGTCCAGATTTTGCAGTCATTGCCATGTATGCAACCAGATGGTCTTGCCACATTTGGTAGGGGGCTATTTGGACTTTAGTGAATAATCCTGATGGTGTACTCTTTCATTCTCCCTATGGATGGCGGGTGACACACCCAGCCCCCACTCTTGGTCACTGGTAGCGAGCTCTAATTAATAAACCAGTGGCAACCTAATGATTTGGGGACTGTAATATTTATAACCAGTGGGACCCAATGCTCCCCCGTAGCCCTCACCGTTTAATGTACTGAGGAGGTGGACATCCCATTGTCTTCCCGCCAAAAAATATATCGACTCTCATGGCTCCCAAGGCTTCCCCAAGCTACCCCAATTTAAAAAAAAAAGAAAACATGCCAACCCCCACCCTAATGAAAGTGGGGGAGAGGGCGGTTAAAAATGATATCCGCAAAGGCAAACTAAGCCAGAGCATGATGGAACTTTGGCTCTCTGGAAATGTTTTTTAATTTAGGAAAAAGTGGTTGGGATGAGCTCAATTCTCTGTCTGCACACAGGTCTACAAGTCATTGGTGTTACTGCCTATGTTCAGTTGATGGGAGAATGTTTCAAATCATTTGACAAAATACCCAACTTTTTTCTCAAACCTAATTTTCGGCAACCATATTCATTCAGAAATGTAATGCAGATCTCCCTCTGACAGACCACAAGTCAGTTATAATAACAACAACTACAGTGCATGTAGTTGCTGTAAAGCTTGACAGGAGAACTACCTATAGAAGAATTCTATCTTAATAAATCCACAGCAAACACGGCAATATCGTACGCAGAACTGTGTATGATGAGCAGGTGGGAATGGATATTATTTAGTAGAAATTTTTGATTTTCCAAGTCTTATAAAAAGAAACCGCAAACTAACTTGAAATTCTGCCAGCACATTATATAAATTTAATTGTTAGCTGTTCAGTACGAACATATGTTTTATGACAGATCCACTTAACGCATTTCTCTGAGTAGCATGTACATTCTCCTGGCAATATGCTATGCTTTTCCAGGTAAGACTAGGGTGTAATGAATGTATAATGCCCTGAAAGAATGCCTATGAATATGCATGTACATTTATTTTACTGAACAGATTTTCTGTGAAGTTTCCAGCTTTTTCCTCGAGCAACCAGATGTTCACAGCCTTACATTAGAAAGCAAGGAATTTTTCGCTGGCATTAAGGTACATTGTTGAATAAACTTTTAAAGCCTATTATTACTAAACTACACATTTTTGAATACAGCCTTTGTACTTTAGTTATGACCTAGTTAAAGATGCATTCCTTTTGTATGGAGAATTGCCAAGATATACAGTGCGCAGCCACTACAGCGCTGTAACAGTGGTCCCTGCAAATACAGGTTTAAGGGTTTTAGTCACTAACTTTGGAATTGGGATGAATTCACAAACCAGGAGATACATTTGACACCAATTTATTTTTTATATAAGAATTTCAAAATTCAGGGGAAAATAGCTGAACCAAGATTGCACAATTCGATTTCAGCTCTCTTCATTTTGGTGTTTAGTAAATAATCCCTTAAATTATAAAAAGTAAACAAAGATAGCAAATTAGATTGTATTTTCCAGCTTGCCTGTGAGTGCCTTAAGGTTTCAGTTTAGTTGCCAGTTCAACACAAATCTGCCCATTAGAGTGAAAAAATGAGGAGCATTAAGATAAAAAACCTATATTTATATTTTATATGTTAAACAAATATAATATATAAATATAATTTTTATTACTTCTCATCCTCTTTTTCCCTACCTTTGTTGCTTTTTCCCACTTGATCTGTGAACCAAATTGCAGTGTTCTGCAAAATACTGTAAATACATATATATATATATATATATTTATTACGTATATATTTTTCAGTACACTGATTGGCCCATTTTGACACTCTTTTGGTCTATCTGGTTTGTTTTCCCAAATCTTTTTTCATTAATGAAATTGAGATGAGAAATTCGAACTCTGATATGGCCTAAATTTGGTCATCCCCACAGTGGTTCGGCTGAAACAATTTTTTTGTTGTTGTGCACAATCTATTAATAATACACTAAAATGATTATTTATTGAAATTGAGAGTGTTTTTTAGACTTGACTAGCCATGATTTAGACCCACTGGAACAGATCTCCCAAAAGTCTAGAATAATAAGCTTACTGCAGTTTAGCTATTTTACAATATATATGTTGATAAAGTTTATCATGAGTTAATGCATGTCTTTTTACCCTAGCTCAATCCTGAAGCTCTCACCATATTAGAAGATGGAAGAGGCTACCGTTTGACAGTAGAGAGCACAGTGCCAGTCTCCTGCACAGAGGCCAGTGAACTGCAGAATGACTGTAAAATCACACTGAAGTTCCACGCTATCAGTGATGGTATGAGATTCTGATCGATTTTCTTGCATTCAGGAATGTAAAGTATTTAATAGTTTATTAAAACGTACATATCTGACAGTGTTTTTGGAATGCGCTATCTTTTCCTAAATTACCTCATATGTTTTTTGTTTTTTTGTTTTGTAATTCTTAATGATAGCATAAATTTATATTCAAGGGGTTTTTCACTAAAGTTTGAATGGCCCCTTATCAAAACTATTCGGCTGCATACATGGGCATTTAAACTGCAAAATCCAGACATTTTTCATACTATTCAGCAGTGTCCGGATTTTGCACTTGAGGTCCCAAATAGACCTGATTTTGATCTGAATTTTAGCAGGACCAAACATTGCTGGACAGCTAAAATCTGAGCCTGAATGCTTAAATTCTGGACTTAAAAAAATCGGAACTATTTGTCCACTGGCAGCAATAACTGTTGTAATATAAGGAACCTTGTGTGCCACCTATATAAGCATTCTGATTTATTTACTTTTGATATTTTACATGGTATGTTATTCTATTATATTTGGTCTTTATCAGTGATAGGAAACTATCTGTGGTTCATTTCAGGCTGGCAAAGCTTCATGGGAGATAGGCAGAGCATCATGGGAGATAATGTCCTCAGTAAAAAGAGTGGCAAAGCATGTCTACCCCTGGTGTATAAATGACATCAGTTATCTTGAACATATGAACTAAAGTAAACACATCATGTTTATATTTTCTTTTCAACAGCTGAAGAAAAACATGACTCAGATTTGGCATTCTCTTCTTGTCAAGTGGATCTTCGGCATTCCCACTGCCAAAATGGAAAATGCAGCCAAGCTGTGCTTTACTACACTGCTGTCATGGATTTCGAAGCTGATGGAGATAAACTTACCAGCATTTCGGTCGATCCAATAGTTAGCACAAACTTTCTATGGAATGGTTACTCTCCACAATCCGTACAGGTGAATCAGTTAGTATCATAAATGTAATACATACATGTATTTCATCCCCATAGCAAGAAAAATGCAGAACAAAAATGATTGGAAACTATTCTTTGAGATCCAGCTTTTAGCACATATGTTTGTGTAAATAAACATTTGTTTACTTTGTTTACACGAAGAGCTCTCACAATCTTCAGCATGTCAAAGATCCAAATGTGAATTAGCCATCCTATTATTTTATTGTTCTGGATTTCTGTCAGTCATCTGTATATAGTGAGTGTAAGAACTGAGATTTATTAGTTTTAACTCACAATTCTCAATTACATTCCTGTGTAACTTGTCAAGATAATTTGAGGTAAAGCACAAAAGTGGTTTCTGCAATATTATTTTTGGGGATATTTTAGAGCAGGGGTGGGCAAACTTTGACACTCCAGTAGACTTCATCTCCCCTGATGATTTGTTGACTTCATGACTGCAAGTGCATTGTGGGAGTTGTAGTCCACAATATCTGGAGTGCCAAAGGTTGCCTACCCCTGTTCTAGAGTTTTCCCAGGGCTTTATCTAATTGATGTGCCTATTCCTATGTACTTTTTGTACAAACTGGTATATTATGTTTGTATTTTAATGTCTGTATCTTCACTCTCAGTGCCTCTTTCCATTCTGATCTTTCTTTCCCTTCTGTTCTTTATTTCCCCCCCCCCAGTTTTCTTAACCATTGTGTCAATTTGACTTTCTCCAATCCCTCGTGTGGCCTCTTCTGTCCTCATGTGGTTCTAGTTACATTGTGGATTTTTCTGTCTACCACTTGACTCCTACGGCCCCTATGATTGGTTTCCCCTTGTCCCCTGTCACTTTCTACTTGTGGTAAATTCCTGCTTCTGTCTTTATGCCTTAATTCTATATCAAACAGGGTATCCCAACAAAAGGAAAAATTAAGGACCTCTTGCAATGTCAAGATTGCTTGCTTCCTGAATCCCTCTGCCTATATTGACAATTCTTGTTATCTCAAATAATTAAACAAAAAATGAATTGGCCCAATAGAAATTCAGAGATGTATTCAGATTTGGTGAAATATCAGAATATACAAAATAGAAGTAGAAAAATCGAATTAAAAACTAAAATGAAAAACAAACATGCCGAATTATTAGTGAATTCTATTATTAAATGTTTGTTTTAAGCTAACTGTAGACATATTGAATTAATAAATCAAAAGCAATGAGCATATTATTTTGTACTAATATCTTCAATACGTGTAATTGAAATGATTGACAATTTGAGTAATAATTAAGATTTTATGTATTTTGAGTTATTTTTTGCTTAGATTACAGTGAAGGATATCCCTGCTGCCTACTGCTATTCCTTTACTGATCCTCATGTAATCACATTTGATGGAAGGTAATATTTAAAATATACTTTTATATGACATATTGTTTATTGCATTTGAGCATTAGGTAGTGGTATTGTGACGTGCTTGTCTGGCTAATCTCACACATACTGCTCTATGCCAATATAGATATCTTGTAAAGAAAATAATCATATATTTTTTTCCCCAATTTTAATCTTGTGCTTCTGCAGAGTCTATGACAATTTCAACACAGGGACCTTTGTCCTGTACAAGAGTATGTCACGTGATTTTGAGGTACATGTCCGACAGTGGGACTGTGGAAGTGTACACCAACCTGCCTCTTGTAACTGTGGCTTTGTTGCCAAAGAAGGAGATGACCTCATTACATTTGATATGTGTAGTGGACAACTCCACGAATCCCAACCTCATCTCTCAGTAAAAACCCAGGATTCAACAACCACCAATTTTAGAATCATTGAACATTATCTGGGGAGAAAGATCACAGTATGTATTTCTCATATTTGATTTGTTATAGAAACCATCAATTAATGAATATAGATGAAATATTAATGTTATGAGTATTATCTACATCAGAGCCAGGACAAGGGCTCTGACAATAGTGAGGAGAACCATATTATTATTATTTTTTTAAACTCATTACAAACTTATTGTGCTCTTATTGTAATTGTGTATAAATATATATTTTTTACAACATAAAGGGACAATAATCTAATTGATGTTGTGGTATGCACTACTAAAATAATGATGGCATGAACCATGAAATCAAAATGTTCGTGTTATTATTATTATTATTTTGAGGACTATAACCTTTCCATTTTTTGAATATAAGATATTTCCAGTTTTCAGCCCACAGACATATATTTTCAGAAATAGATAAAATAAATAAAAATACTTATAGTATATAACATGTATGCAGTGATAAATACCCAATGCGTAAACATCATCCATAAGCACAGATGCATGCACAGAAAGAGTACGGTACATATATACTAGGTTTAGGTAGGTTACTGTTCATTAACCCTAATTAAATGAAGCTGGAGAATAATTCTACAGTGCCACCAGCTGGTAATTCGTAGAATGACATCAGATCTTATGTCAGTAGTTTATGATAAACATAGATTTAATTATATTCTTTGTCCTATGCCAAGGTTTACATCATTTATACTCAGATATTTAAAACCATATAGCTTATAATATCACCAATATATTAATAGAACTGTAAAGAAATACGTTATGCTTTGATACAGAATTGAGCACAGATCCAACCAGGACTGTCCATTTTTAAACATAATAGATCATAGATTTATTTCACACATAGTTGCAATTTATAGAGGCTGGAATGATTTCATAGCTTTCTAGAATGGATAAAAACATGAGTTTTTCTACACATTGTTGAAATGGATAGAATCTGACATAATGTTACACACTATTACAGTCAATAGAATTTGTCAGTACTCAACACATTGTTTCAGTGGATATAAATGTCATTCCATACATTTCTGCAGTTAAACCATTTTTCGTTTGGTAGAATTAAAACATTCTAGTTGTGCTGTGTAGCAGGAGTTATATAGTATTGGTTGAAAATTGAGCAATGATATAATTGCTCCATTTTCAACCAATACTATGTAACTCCTGCTACACAGCACAACTAGAATGTTTTAATTCAAATTAGAATGCTTTTTTTAACAGCACAATTAGAATGTTTTTCAACATTTTAACAAATGCAAATATGCATACATATTTGCAATTGTTAAAATGTGTATCTGGCTTTTTAAGTCATGAACACACTACAAATACAAATACAAATGTAAAAAAAAAAAAAAAAAAGGGTGTAAAAATCTGTTTTCCAAAAATTTGTCTGAATTGGATATTTAATTCAGTAGTCACCCAAGTGCAACCTGGTTTATATACCACTGCTAAGGCTAAATAGACCTTAGAAACAATATGTACGCTATTAAAAAGGAAGACTTTCATATAATAAAGCCCAGCAGTAACCACAAGTGATTTATTACCAGTTTACAGTGCTGGAGGGGCCTGCAGCTCCCTGTAATGTAATGCATGACTTCCACCTATTAAGGGGTTAATTTAATAGCCTGTGGGAAAGTATTAATCCAACTGCCAAAAAACAGATGTGTTCAGCATGTCACCGTGGTGAGCCTTCCTGGAAGCTTCTCAAGAGGGCCCATAGTTACATGAAATAAGCAAATATATGTTTCAGCAAATGCACATTTGTCACATAGTAACAAATAAGGGGTATTTCAAAATGTGGCTTTTAATTTTTTATTGTGTCACATCCAACCAATTGTCTGCCATTAATCACTAAACATGCTCTTACTGCAAGTACCGTCGTATGCTTTAATGTAGAATAAACCATCTGTGTGTAAAATAAGGTAAACAAATGACAAACCATTGTGTGTTGTGAATAAATACGATACTTTTTTCCAGATAAACAAAATTAATTCAGGATAAACTCTGCTTTGCAATTTAGACTTATATTGTGGTTATAGTCGCAGTTCTGTGGAAAATTTTTTTTTTTCATTTTATATAGTAAAATATATCTATCACCATTACCTATGATATCAGGAGAACTTTAACTGTACTGTTAAGTGTTCTAAGTAGAGTTAGTTTCTCAAATTACTAATTTGCCAATCTATATCGGTCATATATTTGCATCTTGATTTCAGTCAGTCTAGCTTAAGGTACAAGTCATTTTACATGAGTGCTGCACCACTTTTGCTCTATAAAAGAGAAAAATCAATTACTGAGATTATGTTCCTGTGATGGCTAGCGTTTTCATTTCGGAGGATTCTGGTGGTACATTACCCAGAATGCATTGTGGAAATGTCCACAGCAAACGTGCCATACTAAGTTTGGTCATCAGTGCTCTTTTAGGTCAACAACATGAAGTTGTGAGTTTTTAAGATCAGTGATGTGAGAAACACTTTGCTCAGCTGTTTGGCTATTACTAATGTTAAAGAGGACTAATATTTTAATTATACAAATAAAATGTTATTTGCTTTTTTTGTCTGCATTCCCCCAGGTATCAGGTTCTCAGGGCCCACTAAGGGTCATGGGTGTTTTAATCCAACAAAAATGAGACTGGGTAGCCCATCTTATGACTTAGTTTCTACATTCATAATACACTGAATGTTACAATAAATCTTCATTATTCAGTTGTTTCTAGGCCACTTTCACTATTAAACCTTTAATTCATGATTGATATCAGCGAAGGATTAAGATCATATGGGACTCTAGGCAGGTTTCCAGTTTGGGTTCCCACCATCATTCTTCAAATGGGACAAAGCAAATTTGTAGTTCTGGGGCTCCTGTCTAAACCCTTGGCCCTATGCAGCAGCCTAGCGTCACCTTATAGTTAATCCTGCTCTGCTTGTTATGAATTACTTTGAAGTGGTTAAGTAGAAATAGATAGATTTATTTATTGGCCAACACATTCATAATGCTACATTTCTTTTATAGATCGCATTCTTATCTGGGGCTTTTATCCGGGCTGATGTGAGTGACTGGGGCATGAGCCTAACTCTCCGAGCACCTAGCTCAGACTTTAAGAACACATTAGGACTTTGTGGCACATTTGACGGAAACTCAGACAATGATTTTCACAACAGTAAAGGAGTTCCACTCGACGGTACATCACAGAACCGGCTTCATTTTATCAACGAGTGGAAGTAAGACAGCTTACTTAGCTACAATATATATATATATATATATATATTTTTTTATTTTTTTTTAATAATAATACATTTTATAGCTATGGCTGTTACATATGTTACTTATGTCCCACCTTGTTTTGACTGATGCATCTGGAATTTAGACACAGAGTGTTAAAAGGGAACTGTTTCAAGAATGTGTAATATTATATTTACTTATCACTAGTGATGTCCCGAACTGTTTGCCGAACTGTTCGCGAACTGTTTGCCACGGTTCGCCACGAACTCCGGTCAGCAGACACATTCCAGCCAATCAGCAGCAGACCCTCCCTCCCAGACCGTCCCAACTTCTGGACAGCATCCATTTTGAAGCTGCATTCTTAGTGAGCTGTCCAGGAGGTGGGAGGGTCTGGGAGGGAGTGTCTGCTGCTGATTGGCTGGAATGTGTCTGCTGACCGGAGTTCGCGGCGATCCGTTCGTGGCGAACCATGGCGACCAGTTCGGGGAACAGTTCGGGACATCACTACTTATCACCTATGTTTTACAAATATGTGTTTGTGTCATCTAAAAAATAAAATGACTTCTAGAAATCCACACAACATTATATTAACTACTATCCTAAAACTGTATATCTCTATTTACCACCCTCACTCCAATCTACCATTGTTATAATATCTGTCCTTTTTGTCCTTAAAAACTATCTTCCCAGAGGCCGAGATGATCAATGAACACAAGGGAACACAATACACTGAGTAGGAGAAATAAAAACAATGCTAAATGTATAATATATATTTAAAGAAAACTATTTGAATTGCCGAGAGGGTCGGTCTGCAGGGGGGAAGGGGGTGAAGCTGCCCCCTAAGCACCATAACTTTGTTACTGCTCATCTTTTTAAAAAACAAAACTATTTTTCTTTCTCTTCTCTCTCATTCTCTCTCCCTATCTCTTCTTATATCTTTACAATGACTACTTCCTCTGCATTCTCTGATGGTTCTCTCTGTACAATATATATGGCTGTAAGAGGGTGGATCTGGCTTTGACGCAGCATACGTCTTGACATCCATGGTGCCAGGTATACGAGGCACTTATGTATATTGTAACCAATCAACCCATCTTTATGTACTCTATGAGGTGTTTGTGTATTTCACCAGTCTATATTCAAATGTCTACATGCATTTTTTTGTCTTTTTCTTTCTTGTCTTTTTCTAATAGAAACATAGAAACATAGAAACATAGAATGTGACGGCAGATAAGAACCATTCGGCCCATCTAGTCTGCCCAATTTTCTAAATACTTTCATTAGTCCCTGGCCTTATCTTATAGTTAGGATAGCCTTATGCCTATCCCACGCATGCTTAAACTCCTTTACTGTGTTAACCTCTACCACTTCAGCTGGAAGGCTATTCCATGCATCCACTACCCTCTCAGTAAAGTAATACTTCCTGATATTATTTTTAAACCTTTGTCCCTCTAATTTAAGACTATGTCCTCTTGTTATGGTAGTTTTTCTTCTTTTAAATATAGTCTCCTCCTTTACTGTGTTGATTCCCTTTATATATTTAAATGTTTCTATCATATCCCCCCTGTCTCGTCTTTCCTCCAAGCTATACATGTTAAGATCCTTTAACCTTTCCTGGTAAGTTTTATCCCGCAATCCATGAACCAGTTTAGTAGCCCTTCTCTGAACCCTCTCTAAGGTATCAATATCCTTCTGAAGATACGGTCTCCAGTACTGTGTACAATACTCCAAGTGAGGTCTCACCAGTGTTCTGTACAATGGCATGAGCACTTCCCTCTTTCTACTGCTAATACCTCTCCCTATACAACCAAACATTCTGCTAGCATTTCCTGCTGCTCTATTACATTGTCTGCCTACCTTTAAGTCATCAGAAATAATCACCCCTAAATCCCTTTTCTCAAATGTTGAGGTTAGGACTCTATCAAATATTCTGTACTCTGCCCTTGGGTTTTTACGTCCAAGATGCATTATCTTGCACTTACCCACATTAAATGTCAGTTGCCACAATTCTGACCATTTTTCTAGTTTACCTAAATCATTTGCCATTTGGCTTATCCATCCTGGAACATCAACCCTGTTACATACCCTGTACGATCCATTTTACACAATCAAAAAGCTTTTATTGAAGATAAAAGGAAACAATTCAAGACAGTTAGCACAAGTTACAATTATAACATTAGTTACAATGCTACAATTGTTTTTCAGTATTTTATTAAAATATTTAATTTCCAGCACAGTCATTTTTTTCCTGTTTGAAACACCATTAGTTGCAACCTACTAGACTACTAGAGGCCCTCCCCCCTGGTAGACATTCAGTTATTAAAAGTGTTCACATTTGGCATCATTATGCATAGCCTGATGCTACTAAATGCTATAAATGTTTCTCATAGAGAAGAATTAGATTAAATACTTCTCTAACAGAAGAATCCCATTGGCTGAGTGAGGCAAATGTTTGCATGTGTATATCCACCATGCTTCTCTATCAGAAGCATTGGATTGAACCAGAGATCATGCAGATGGATGATCTTAAAAAAGGAGGAATGGCTACTGGAATGAGACTTTCCAGTGCTATATTACCAGTAAGTAAAAATTCTGTGTTTTTTGAGGGCACTATGCAATAGGTAAAAAAACATACTAACATGAAAAACACATATATTTATTATATATATATTATATATTTTTTAGAGTGTTCCTTTAAAATTCATAGTGCTAGTTTGAAAGATATTTTTTTCTGTCCTCTTTCATAGCAGACTTCACACAGTGCAAAAAAAAATAGTAAAAAGTGGCTAAAAGATTGATCAATACATTGTGTCACTAAAAATATAGTGGATATTCAAAAATGAGGGTTAGGGTGCAAAAGAATCAACAGATAGATAAAACTGACAGATTTAATAAATTGCACTGAAAAATTAGACATTAAAGTGTCAGTGACATTTTTGATAAAGTGTCTCTATGAAAACTGTGAAAACTGTGATTGATGTCCAATATAGTAAAAAAACTAATCTGTGATGTCAGCTTTGTTTCATGACCCAACACATAAAAAAAGATCCTGCCAATATTTTTAAAAAGAGTTAACATTTAAGTTTTTACAAGTTGGTAATTACAATGAAATATTTAAGGTATCAACTCATTAAACAAATTCAAGAATTAGTAGAGGAACCTTTACTCTCTGTAGTCCATATTCATAATACAAGCATGCATTTCACAAAATATTATCACCAAGTAGAATGCTAGATATTAACTGAAAAAATGATGGATCTTTGATCCCTGGACATTTAAAATGACATCCTTCATTGTAGTGTCACATCATTAAATATATCTAATTTCATTATATATATGTTGTAGTATATTCTCAGTAGCTAAAGTAATTTGGTGTGTCAGTTTCTTATTAAATTGACCATCTCTATTTTTTTTTCTTCTTACAGGATTTCTGCTGGAGAAAGTTTTTTTGATAAAACACCATCTTCACTACAGTTACCAAAAACCATAAAATATTGTAAATGCACACACACGAATGAGTTATATCGGTCCCCTGATACACTTGATTCCACTTTGCAGAGGGACACAACACATTGTAAAGACAACAATGAGGTCCTGTTCCCAACACTGATACCCGGACTGGATGTTACTATGGAGTACATAAGTCCACCAGATGCAACACGAAGCCTTAGCAAACGTTCTATTGCAGATCACCCTCAAAAGACAGGCATGTTTACTACTAAGGATAACGTTACAAGCCAAATATACAACTCAAAGAAAAATTCCATATCTCGGAGGAAAATATCTCAATCAATAAACATGAGGAACAGCTCTATTCCTAGAGAAAAAGTCATAAGAAACAGAATGAAACGTCAGAATTATTATGAATATCTTTCAACATTTCCTTACCAAAGTCTTAGCCAAACTGACTTAGAAGGGTTTAGCTACTTCTTCCCCGAAGATCACTCTACAGATATAACCAGGGAGTTTCTGCCTTCTTGGCCCACCCCATCTGGCTTGACCCAATCATATGCTTCAGGATTTTGTGGGCAGTCTATTTTTAACTCAAGCATTGGCAAGTTGTGTATTGATTTTCTTGAAACACGCCTGAAGGATGTAGTTGACATGTGTGTTACAGATATACTGTTAAAGGATGACTTGAGTTGGGCAGAAGGTGGTGTGGCACTGCTGGAAAATGAATGTGAAAGAAAACTTTTGGAATTAGGATACAATGATCCCAAAAATGTAAAAGGTCCAGTAGATCATATTCTTTTGGCCTTAAAATGTCCAAATCACTGTAGTGGCAATGGAGAGTGTATGGATTGGGGTTGCGCTTGCTTTCAAGGTTTCAGTTCCTACGACTGCAGCATTTTGACAGGTAAGTACCTATGTAAGATTAAAATATAGTGTTAGTAAATAGAAACAGATTTTCCTGTAAATAATAAAGTTTGTTAATGTATTGTCTGTGCTTCAACTCTTGTGAAGACCAGGTGCCTGAGATATTAGAACTTGAAAATGATGGACTATGTGATATTCGGACATATGATTGTACATCTGTGAGAGTGTATGGCCTTGGTTTTAAGGAAGCTCTCAACCTTAAGTGTGAATTCACAAAACAGCAGGTATATCATTGTACAAGTGTTTCAATGTATGTTACTTTGTCATGAGTTCACCAATGTAAAATCTCTAATGTTATAATCTGTTCTATTCTATTCTATTCAATTCCATTCTTTAATGTATTCTGAATTCATAAACTTTATTTGTGCTAGGACTTGTCTTATTGGGCAATACTATTTGGGTACCCACTAATAAATCTAGAGCACAAGATTAGACTTACCTAAAATTCAGCGCCAAGTGAACCTTCATGTGCTGCTCTCAATTCTCCATCCAATTCTCCATGGCCCAATCAAAGAAGCATTGGATTGGACTGCCCATGTGAGCACTCTAAGCCAGGGAGGGAAGTGTGGGGTGGACAGAGAGAGGGGCCTAGGAAAAAATGTATGATGCTGAATGGTGGGAGGCAGAGAGGATTGGAAGTGAGCACACCAAGGAGGAAGGAAATATACAAGCAGAAGCTGGTAATGTCTGTCTCCATTGTGCATCAGCGTAATTTTTACATAGAAGTAACATTAGGCAGAACGTGTGGCGGGGGTGCAACTAGTTCTAGGCAAAAGACTGCAGATATCTCTGTATGTGCAGCATCTCCAACCACCATGACCATTTCTGAAAGTAGAAGTATCAATGGATGCTGGAGTAACCATTTAATTATTTGTTTTTTAGGAATAAAAAAATTTTAAAATTACCCAAAAATTTATTTGACTATTCCAAGTACCATAAACACTACAGTATGATGTAGTAGTCATGGTGCCAAGAGTGTAGTAGTTATGGTGCCAAGAGTTTGACACTTTATCCACTCTGCTTCCTGCCATTTTAGAACTGGAGATGCCATATATCAATATTATTCAATACAAGCACTCATTCGACTTATTAATTGGCTGAGAACCCTCAGCTTATGTCAGTCAGTAAAGAGCACCTACATTGGTATCCAACTTCTCTTGCTTGAGAAGACCAGAAGAAACTTGGATTTTCTAAAATAGTTTGGCAGGTTACCCTGGGACTGTATTAAAAGACATGAACTTCAGATCAGCATTCAATTTAACCACTTATGGACCATCATCACTCAATATCAGGAACATAATCTCTTATTTAAACAGAATTGCTAATTTATTCATTAAATTAAACAGGAAAATAACTAAAAATTATTGAAAAAAAATCTATACTTTGCAAATGTGGCCATTACCGGCAAAGAAATCAGAAATAAAAAGAAACATTAATTTGAAAATGAGTAGTTAGACTGCAGTTGTATTAATTGCATCCCTTATGTGACCTCTGCAATTTTTTTCTCTCTTTACTATGGGAGTTAGTCACAAGACTAAAATAGAATGATTTGTTTTCATGTATAGCTTTCTTAATTGCAAACATTTGAATATTTCTTGATTTATTCTTTATAACTAAACTGTTGTTATATGTTTGTTATATCTTCCCCTGCTCCCAGTATAGTGGTGGCAAATGGATCCTTGCTGACCCAGTTGTGACGGATGCCTCATTCAGGAATACTAGGTCTGTTGATTGCCAGGTGCCAGTCGATGCCCATCAGGCTGAGAGCATTGGTCTAGTGGATGACAAACCAATTGCAAAGTGGCAAGTTAAGGTATTATCTTGTATTCATAGAGTTCATAAAATATATTAGATATACCTAGTTGTTTACTTGGTAGTCTGTTTCATGTACAGGAAAGTCTTGCTTCTCGTTTGGATTTGGTTTGCCTTTATGGCCATTCTCGTACAGTCATGGAACCATTTCATCCATGGTGAGCTGAATCATATGAGAGATATTTCTAAGTGGGATTTGCCTTTTGTCAGTGACTGTTAAGGTTATTATTATTATACTTTATTTATAAAATGCCAACCCATTATGCAGAGCTGTCCATGGCTACAATTGGTATAATTTAGGTCAGGGATAGACAACATTCAGCACTCCAGATGTTGTGGACTACATCCCCATAATGCTCTAACACCCATAATGCTGGCAGAGCATCATGGTAGGCGTAGTCCAAAACATCTGGAGTGCCGAAGGTTGCCTATGCCTGACTTAGATTATTATTAAGATCGCAAGTGACAGAGAACCTGCACATATTGAAACTAATACCATCTGCTTTCATAACATCTCTTAACAGGAAATATATATACAGGAAATATAAAAATTAAATCCCTAAAATAAGTTGTGCTTCCTTCACGTGCATAAAGCTGGATATGGACGCTTATCAGGCAATTAATTTTAATTGTGTACTCTAATTAATCTATAGGTGTCTAATGATGGCTACATCTTCAGTAATTTTAAAACCATAACTGTGTATGATGGAGCATGCCAGACCTGTGATCCGCTGTCAGATGGACTATGCACAGTAAAGGTACCTCGTATTAATATAGAATTGGCAATGATATTTTGACACTTTGATTTCATTTTACATAGCATCCAGGTTTGACACTAGTGTCTGTCTGAAAATAGTTTTCAAAAAATTTAACCCCATTAAATATTGGATCTTACAGAGCCTTCCCGTCATATGTACAAAATGGAGAGTTTCTTGTGTACTCTTTTAGTATCCTATTCTCAACATCTGAAGTTAATAATACATTAAAAAAACAGGGTTATATTGATTGCACTTTGGACACAACTAACAATAAATAATCCCTAACCACAATAATATCTTTAAACCCACTACTCTAAAAGTATGGGACGATTAATCTGATTAAGTCACCTATCAATTATTATTATTATTTATAAAGCGCCAACAAATTCCGCAGCGCTGTACAATGGGTGGACTAACAGACACACAGTTGTAACCAGACAAGTTGGACACACAGGAACAGAGGGGTTGAGGGCCCTGCTCAATGAGCTTACATGCTAGAGGGAGTCGGGTATAGAGACACAAAAGGTAAGGGTAGGGTAGAAAAGTAGGTTGCTACGATAGTATTCATTGAGGGCTTAGTGTTTTGTTTTGATGACAGTTTCAGGAAAGGAATCATTAATCACCCATTCCACACAATAATGATTTAAAACTTAGGTAAAAAGCCACTGAATGTTGCATTCTCGGTTTGGGTCGTTAATATGACTGAACCTTGTCTGAATATAGGAAAAGTATTGCTGTTTCAGTGGTGAATCCACTTTGAGCAGGTGTCTTAGAGATAGTCAGCATCACCACTGAAAACAACAGGAAAGCTAGCATTGACTGACAGATTTCAGCTTCCTCCCATTTTAGACAGAACTAACTACTGTACATGAAACTGCAAATTGTTGGTCATCAATAATGATTTCTACAATGTCTTTTTTTTTTTCATTTTTTTTTTTCAGTACTGCATATTTTTTGCTTCATCCACGCAATGCTTTTAACCCCTTAAGGAAACATGACAGAAATATTCTGTCATGATTCCCTTTTATTTCTGAAATTGTGTGCTTAAGTGGTTAAACAAATATCCGTTTCTAAAAGGAAAATACAAGAAATTGTCTTATTGAGACTTGGTGTTAATCCCCTTGAGAGTACCTGTAGTGATCGAAGGGTGCCCTAGCCCAAAATCCACTCACTTTTATTACCTTTTATTCACTGCTGTCTTTTTTGGATTATTTATTGCTTTTGTTTCTTTGGGATTTTCTTTTCAGGAGAAAACATGCAACATTGATGGGTTCTGCTATGGTGAGAGTGATCCCAATCCCACAAGCCCATGCTTAATCTGCAAACCTGACATCTCAAAGCTGACATGGTCAATAGCAGAAAGTAAGATGTGTTCTATATGCATTGCTTGTTACCAATAATTAAGTTCTTGCTTATCATTTGGTCTGGAAGTTGAGTATGATATTATGTTGTCTGGTGGGGTAGAACATCTAGTAAGCATCTCCAATAGGTTTAGATCACTTTCATTGATCCCGCTGTTTTTTTGCTGGTGCATGAATCGGAGAATTTAACGGACAACCTAACCCAATGGTGGCGTTTGAGTCTGACAAGAAAGTACTTAGTCATGAGGAACCCATGTTTGTAGTGCTAATTGGTTCAAATAAACCTGGATGGGGAAAGTCATCATATGAATATGTTGGGAAAGAGCAAATGTGAAAGTGAAGTATATTAAGCATCTTTAAGATTATAGGGCTGGTCAAAGAGAAAACAGGACCGCAAGTAGTAAGTAAAAGAATATCGTAAAGCGGGGAATGACCAAAGTCTGGGGATGACAGGGTAAGACAAAAGTAAACAAGCCATTGGTCTGTAAAAATAAGCCAAAATCCGGACACCAGAAAATGAAACATGTCAGACTTACCATAACATCTGGAAACAAAAGGGCAACACAAAAGTGTAAGAGAGAATAAAACCACACTGGGGCCTAAATTATACTTTTAGCTAAAGGAAAATTACCAACTGATTGTTGTTATTTCTGTACAACATGCATGAAAATTGATCACACAAGCAACATTTTGTCTCTAAACGTGAGCAATTATCACTTTTGTTTAATACAAATGTCACATGCACAGCTGCTTAGTCATTATAGTTCATTATGAATTTATCAAAACAAACCAGAGGAAAACTCCCAAATAACTATACCCAACGTAGAATTCTGCTTTCGGTATGATTTCATCAAAGTCTTTTTTCAGTGGATTTAGTGGAGTTTGCTAGTGCAACAATTACAAATGTATTTTGCTCACAACCAAAGACAAAATGAGTCTGACAAGAATTGTACTGTAATAGTTGCTAATTTATATGTGTAACACAATTATCCTTGAATAGTCTAATTTTATTATATTCGGAGACTGACAGATTTAAAAAGGAATGAAAGAATATTGAGTCCACATATAGGTGATACTTGAAAAATTAGAATATCATGCAAAAGTTCATTTATTTCAGAAATGCAACGTAAAAGGGGAAACTAATCTATGAGATAGATGCATTACATGCAAAGCCGTGATTTGTCATTAGTGCGATGATTATGGCTTACAGCTAATGAAAACCCCAAATCTACAATCTCAGCAAATTAGAATATTACATGCAATCAATAAAACAAGGAGTGTTTATAGAACAATATCGGACCTCTGAAAAGTATAAGCATGCATATGGACTCAGTAGTTGGTTTGGGCCCCTTTTGCAGCAATTACTGCCTGAATGCGGTGTGGCATGGAAGCTATTAGCCTGTGGCACTGCTGAGGTGTTTTGGAAGACCAGGATGCTTCAATAGCGGCCTTCAGCTCTTCTGCATTGTTCGGTCTCATGTCTCTCATCTTTCTCTTGGCAATGCCCTATATATTCTCTATGGGGTTCAGGTCAGGCAAGTTTGCTGGCCAATTAAGCACAGTAATCCCACGGTCATTGAACCAGGCTTTGGTGCTTTTGTCAGTGTGGGCCTGCTGGAAAATGAAGTCAGCATCCCCATAAAGCTTGTCTGCGGAAGGAAGCAGGAAATGCTCCAAATTCTCCTGGTAGACGGCTGCGTTGACCCTGGACTTAAAGAAGCACAGTGGACAAACACCAGCAGATGACATGGTTCCCCAAATCAACACAGACATTGGAAACTTCACACTGGACTTCAAGCATCTTGCAGTGTGTGCCTCTCCATTCTTCCTCCAGACTTTGGGTCTTTGGTTTCCAAATGAGATGCAAAAGTTGCTCTCATCAGAAAAAAGGGCTTTGGACCACTAAGCAACAGACTGTTTTTCTTTAGCCCAGGTAAGATGCTTCTGACATTGTTTGTTGTTAAAGAGCGGCTTGACAAGAGGAATACGACATCTGAAGCCCATGTCCAGGATCCGTCTGTGTGTGGTGGCTCTTGATGCACAGACTCGAGCCTCAGTCCACTCCTTGTGAAAGTCCCCAACACTTTTGAATGGCCTTTTCCTGACAATCCTCTCCAGGATGCGGTCATCCCTGCTGCTTGTGCACCGTTTTCTTCCACACTTTTCCCTTCCACATAACCTTCTATTAATGTGCTTTAATACAGCACTTTGGGAACATCCAACTTCCTTCACAATTACCTTTTTGAGGCTTTCCCTCCTTATGGAGGGTGTCAATGATGGTTTTCTGCACAACTGTCAGGTCAGCAGTCTTCCCCATGATTGTGATTCCTACTGAACCAGACTGAGAGACCATTTAAAGGCTCAGAAACCCTTTGCAGGTGTTATGGCTTACTTAGCTGATTAGAGTGGGACACTGTGAGCCTAGAATATTGCACCTTTTCACAATATTCTAATTTACTGAGATTGTGGATTTGGGGTTTTCATGAGCTGTAAGCCATAGTCATCGCTCGTATGACAAATCACGGCTTGAACTATCTTGCTTTGCATGTAATGCGTCTATCTCATATATTAGTTTCCCCTTTTACGTTGCATTACTGAAATAAATGAACTTTTGTGCGATATTCAAATTTTTAAAAAAGCAGCAGTAACGTAAGTATTACAAATCATGCAATCAAACACAGAACAACGAGGTATAGTTAAAAAATAGATGCAAAACATTTCTTAAATATTTATAACCAAATGTTATGGACATAAATCTTTCAGATATGTGCATTCCATTAGTTTTATATACTAAAATAAAATAAGTTGTGTTAAGTAATTTATTTTAGTAATGCATGTTCACTTTGATTTCCTGTTGCTTAAATTTTTTTACCATTTACTTCGAAAAATATTCCTGAATGGTTGCTCATGTTAAAATGAGTGGCACTATCTATATCTAATTTCCTTTTCAGTGAGAGACATGGTGAGGTGTTACAGAATTTGTGTAGCCTCCAGGATATTTGTTCTGAGGTGATGTTGGAAGGAGAGGTCAAGGAATCCGTGTTAAAAAGGCACTCCAGACCCCTTAAGCACTTCAGCTTCCTGAGATACTTTATGTGTGATGAGTTTTTTTTTTTTTTTACTTTTCAAAAAGTGTAGATTTGAATAGAAATCTGTACTTTTATAAATTAACCTTGTTACACCCTCCTGGATGTCAATCAGACAACCAGTCCTGTCTTAGAGCTAAACTCAAGAGGGAGCCATTGCCCAGGTCACCTGCCTTGCAAAGGCTTATAATTGGGCTGCAATGAGAAGTCTGTGATTGGACAGCCACAGAAAGTCTGGGCTTGGTTAGAAGGAGAGAGCTTGCAAAGCCTTCAGACAAGAGACCTTTTGCAAGCTGTTTTCAGACATACCTCCAATGAAGAAATATCTATATATCTATATAGAAATGTAAAGATAGTTAAGAAGTTAATAACACCCCACATGTCGATGTTACATCTTTGATCTGATTGACAATGGCAGAAATACTACAGAGAGTGTCCGGTACAATAAATTTCTAGAGCCCCTGAAGCACAAGGGTGGCAAAAAGGTAGATCCTCAATTGTCATACAACAACCATTTTGCTGTTCCAAATGGGGATTTACCATTTGCCCATCCTTGCAGGGCTATATTTGTGAGCCGTGTCTGTGTGTTTGTATTTAAGCATGTTTTTGTATGAAGTAGGTTTGTGAATGTAGGTGTTTACTGATGTTTGAATAGAGCAGTATATATTTGTGTAGTGTTGGCATTTCAATGCAGTTCTGTGTTTGCATGCAGTGTTGACATTTGAATAAAGAGGTGTGTTTGTGTGTGGTGTTGCTCTTTGATTGCAAGGGTGTATTTGTATGTAGTGTTGGTGTTTGAATGCTGAAATGTATGTACATGTACACATACACTGCATCGCAAACAGATTCACACACACACACATATAGACACATAGAGATACACACCGATACACAGTTACACATGAACACTTACACACACATGACACAAGTCATAATTTACATATTTTTATTATATTCATTTATATAAAGGTATAGCTTTGATAAGCGAGAGAGCTCATTGTATTATGCTGCCATCTTTTTTGTATTATGATATTTGCAGAATATCAATCATACAGATTATTGGAATAACAATTATTATTAGCAATTATTAAAACACTAATCTTTTCTAGTATTTATCTTTACTATTGTGATTTCTGGTAATTAAGACCTCTATTTAATATTATTTTATATGCTTTCCAAATGATTTATATAGTTACATAGGCTGAAAAGAGACATGTGTCAATCAAGTTCAGCCTTCCTCATTTTTGTTTTTGCTGTTGATTCAAAAGAAGGCAAAAAAAAAGTTTGAAGCACTTCCAATTTTGCAACAAACTAGGAAAAAATTCCCTCTTGACCCCCAGAATGGCAGTCAGATTAATCCTTGGATCAAGAAGCATTTACCCTACAGTGAAAAATTATATCCTTGATTATTCTGTTTTTGCAAGTATGCATCTAGTTGCTGTTTAAACATCGGTACAGACTCTGATGAAACCACATCTTCAGTTTGAGAATTCCATATCCTTATTGTTCTTACGGTAAAAAAAAACCTTTGTTTTTGCCTTAGACTAAATCTTCTTTCTTCCAGTCTAAACGCATGACCTTGTGTCCTATATAAAGTCCTGTTTGTAAATAGATTTCCACACAATGGTTTGTATTAGCCACGAATATATTTATATAATGTTATCGTATCGCCTCTGAGGCGACGTTTTTCTAAACTAAAGAGGTTTACATTTGTTAACCTTTCTTCATAGCTAAGATGTTTCATTCTTTTTATTAATTGTGTAGCCCTCCTCTGCCATCTTTCTAGTGTATATTCTTTAGAACAGATGCCCAAAACTGCACAGCATATTCAAGGTATGGTCTTACCAGCAATTTATAAAGAGGCAAAATTATATTCTCATCCTGAGAATTAATGCCCCTTTTCATGCATGATAATACCTTACTGGCCTTAGCCACTACTGATTGACATTGTACATTGTTGCATAGTTTGTTGTCTATAACAGCGGTCCCCAAACTGTGTGCTGCAGAGCCCCAGGGTTGCCGCGGAATGTTTCCCTGGTGCTATGATTATAGCACCAGGGAAACAATATTGCTGAACAGGGGCCTGGTCAGGTGCCGCAGGCTTTTAGACCGCGGCCAGACCCCTGTAATGTCAACCGCCTGGGAGGAAATGACAGACTGTCACTTCCTCCCATGATCCTGCAAGGAGGCAGCGCGGGAGGAGGCAGTCCCAGTGTGAAGGGAGAGGAGTATGAAGCGCTCACATCCATCAGCAGCAGGACTCCAAGCCACCCTCCTGGCACATAAGGTAAGCTGACAGGAGGGTGGCTGGAGATATTTATAAACAATCACTTGTATGTGTGTGAGTGTGTGTAAGTATGAGTGTGTGTGAGTGTGAGTGTGTAAGTGTGAGTGTGTGTGAGTGTGAGTGTGAATGTGTATGATTGTGTGTAAGTGTGTGAGTGAGTATGAGTGTGTGTGTCAGGGTGTTTGTGAGTGTGTGTGTACCAGAGTGTGCATTTGTGTGTGTGTGTGTTTGTATATATGTATATATATATATATATAGGAAAAAAAATGGTAATTCCTGCACTCCAACTTGCATAAATATAAGTACCTGGTGCTCAGGTTGCAAAAATTGATAAATACAAAAAATATAGCCGGCACTCACGGTTTTTTTTCGAATGGTTTCTCTTTAATTCTGAAAATCGACGTTTCAGCTCCCTAAGGAGCTTTCATCAGGACAACTGATGAAAGCTCCTTAGGGAGCTGAAACGTCGATTTTCAGAATTAAAGAGAAACCATTCGAAAAAAAAACCGTGAGTGCCGGCTATATTTTTTGTATTTATATATATATATATATATATCAGTATGCTTTTGTGTCTGCGCACACATCTGTGTATGTGTATGTGCATCTGTGTGTCAGGGTGTGTGTTTTTATGTCAGTGTGTGTATCTGTGTCATGGTGTGAGCATGTATCAATGTTTGTGTGTGTCAGGGTGCATGTGTGTATATGTTGGTGTGTGTATGTGTCTGTGTGTATCTATATGTGTGTATGTGCCAGGATCTAGCAACCGCTGTATGCACTACCTGAGTAGCAAGGATTGCTCATTTGCATGTTTGGGTAGAGACATATGTTCCATCCCTTTATAAATATGTTATTATACTATTATAATGGCCTGTATATTTTGTGACATGTTTTGGTTATTTGAATGTTATTATGTTTGTCACAGCAATGTTTATGTAATGAACATATGGGCTAGTCCCAAGTCAAATAAAGTATGTTAGTTCAATTTGGAACAGTGTCCTGTGTGGATTTTTAGGGATCCCAGCCACAGAGTTGTTGCACCTGTTGGCAGGTTGCATGATCTCTCCAGCCCTGGAATAAATAAAGAGAGCTAGGCCTGAGAACCACAAGTGCTTTTGTAAAGACAATAGAAATCACATTGCAGGCAGAGGGGACGATACCTGCTTGGAAGAAGAGCTACAGTGGAATAGGCAGAGGCGACGATACCTGCTTGGAAGAAGAGCTGCAGTGGAATAGGCAGAGGCGACGATACCTGCTTGGAAGGAGAGCTGCAGCCTAGTCGGGTGGAAAAGCTCCAGCAAGACCCTAGTCAAGCCATGGCGACTGGGGCAGAAGAGTGGCAGTTTTTCCCGGTTCCAGCTAGGAAGCGATCCTGGACGGAGATACTGGGAGCTCTGTTACAATATATATAAAAAAATCATACATAAAAGTGTCAATGTATATAAAATAGCAAAATATTTTTAAAAAAATTCAATATTTTCCATTATATTAAAATTTTGTAAAAGTTTTTCCAATAATATTAAATCATTCCAAACGCTTATCCAACAATATTAAATCAAGTCCTAAGTCAAGTCTATAGATGTGATGATTCCCAGGGTTGTTGTGTCCCAAATTAGGGTTTCAAGAGACTTGCATGCAACTTGGATACAAATTGTGTTCTCTCAGAACACAGCTGGGTAAAATCTTTATCCAAATCACTTTGCACTAGGCAGCTTTTGTATTGGTTCTGTCATCATGAACTGTCTTTGCTCAGTCATAAGGTACTGTAAAAACAGCCTTTTCCTTGCATCATCAGGCAGAACAAAGAACTGCTTCCCTGAACATGGGAAAGCTGAGAGCTAATCATCTCTCGCAAATGACGGATTCTAAATCCCTGCAGACACACGATACACTTTGCAACGTTGTTTTACTATAACCAATCACTATTTATGAGTAAGCTTGTTAGATCAGGGACCTCATCAGCTCTTTTTTCACTTATTTTTTTTTTCTATTTCCCTTAATGCGGTTGTCATTTATTAGCCAATTTATATCCAGGGCTGAAACAGGGATTTTTTCCACCATAGGCAAAAATTAATTTTGTATCCAAATCATGCCCCCTCCTTAGAGTCTCTTTCTCTTAGGAAAACTCTGATTCATACCCTCACACACAGATATATATACACTCATACTTGCATTAGCCACACACATACTATACTACATGCAGTCACCCATATAGATACATGCATTAACATATTTACTCACACACAGGTACACACACACAGACAGAATTAAACATGCACAGACACTTACACTGACATAATGTGAAAGAAAAAAGTGAACTTAGTGGATCGTACTACCACCAAAAGATCACTCAGTGGAGCGCTAAATATCAAATTCTTACCCCTATTGGAATAACGTATATATCACTTTAAGGGGCAGACAGCATAATAAAATATGGTAAAGAGCCTGGAGATTGGCTCAAATCACAACAGCTGAGGTATGTTTGGTAATACCAGACCTTCTCCAGATATACAGCTCACAACATATGTGGATAAAAAAGGACAAAAATCCTAGTGCAAATATGTTTAAAATAAACAAGTGGTCACATATAACAGTGCATGAATGTGCTCACCTGGAATAGAGCCAATTGTACTAGGCTCTATGTATAAGCGTGTGGTGCCTTTAAGGGAGGCACTACCCTTCTTTAGAAAATGCAGGAAGCAGTTGAAGATCCACTACCAGATGTATAAGGTAAAAGTAACAATTTATTAAAAAAAAAAAAAAAAACAATTAAGCAAAGTAAAACTGTATATACAGGTACCAAAAAGTAAAAGTCTCTGGGGTGGTCTTCCTTGGAGTTCCTTGGAGTTCCGGGTGGGGGCACCCTCAGGGCACTATAGTGCCAGGAAAATGAGTATGTTTTCCTGGCACTATAGTGATCCTTTAAGGTCAACATACCTGTCTTAAAATAAATTATTATTTTAATGAGTAGCCATCGGAAATAATAGGGCGTAACAGGATAATTCACTAAAATGTATTTTGTTGGGAATTCAAAGTGAATTTAAACTTTTTGGCCAAAATAGCATAAAAGAAAACATAGTTGACTTGAAGCTTTACTTGCTATTTTGAAAAATAAAATTGACTTAAAATTGTCTGAATTATTTTTGAAATCCCAACAATTTACAATTTAGTGAATATCTCTGCGAGACTCAGTCTACACATCTTAGAAATATCTTCTCGAATGTAGGAAATGAATGGTTACTTACTAACACTTTATCACTGTGCAACTCTTTATACTTATGTCCCTGTTTCTTGTTTCAGACAACCAGGCTCCTGTGATTCATTCCTTGCCCAACAGATTGCTGACTTTTTACAGTGAAAACTTTGTCTACCAGTTTATGGGGTCTGATCCAGAAGGCTCTGCCATTCTTTTTACACTGGAATCTGGTCCAGAAGGTGCCAGCTTATCACCGGCAGGGCTATTGATATGGAAAGTTATGTTGCAGAGTACGCAGAAAGTTGTATTTTTTGTAGCCGATGATTGCAATGCCAAGACCAATGTAACAGTGGAGGTATGTTTTCTATGTGCAATGTAATAAATCAGCACATTTAGAGTCATTTTTTTGTTCCTCGTTCACCTAATTGTCTGAAGGACCTTTCATTAGCTTGCCAAATACATAAAAGCTTCGGGGCTTAAATTCATCCTGAGGCATGTTATTTTTGACCTCAGCTGTGAACACTCCACAAGAAGAGGAAGATGTTTGAAGGTGGTATTTTACATGAGTCATCTACTGTACAAGCTATTTCTTGTGACATTTCCTGCACATCAAAGGCCAGACACTTAAGATAAGTGCTTGGCAATTGGCAATGGTAGTTATAAATTTTAATGCATCCTTTAAAAAATGGGAGAAAAAGATGAAAAAAGCAATATTTATTACACAAAATAGCTCTTAAAAGACTTATCTTTGTCGGAAAGGAAATGTAGAAAGATCTTGAAGCAAAACTCGTAATCAGAAGAGGCAGTTTTTAGTAATGGAAACAGGCCAAAATATTTTCCATCAGTTCAGGTAAGGTGTAGAAGATAAACTGAGATTTAATGAACAAATTCCCACACTAAGTTTTTAGGTACAACCAATCATTTTTTTATGATATCAATTATAAGTATAAGTAAAATTTTGGTCCACAAATACAAATCCTTTATTTAAAATATATGTATTCAAAAATCTAATTTTGCACAACACTTAAATATACCAAGAATAACTTTAGAATAAGCCCTGCCTTAACCCCTTAAGGACACATGACATGTGTGACATGTCATGATTCCCTTTTATTCCAGAAGTTTGGTCCTTAAGGGGTTAAACTCGCCAGCTTTGAAAAAACACATTTTACACAAATGTTACAGATGATTTGCAAACGATGTGTCAAATATGCAAATGAGCACAGAAGAGTCTGTTTTTAGATTCCAACCCATATTTCTGCAAATGCCTTAGCATGTGTGTGTGTAGCCAATCAGTGTGATCCCAGAGGTCAGAAGTAGAAAGGAAATTTAAGCTCTCTTCTCATTAGGGGGATTATGCTGTTTATAATTCAATTGATTATTTTAAGTTCATGGAGTATGCTGAACTGAATATACTGAAGTATTTTCCTGGATACAGGCATGTGCTTTATTAACAGAAGGATAACAAAGAGTAAAAAATATATATTTGGCGATGACTAGTTTTACAGAGTTTTACAAAGTGGGTCTAACATTTTTTTTCATCCAAGCTAATTTAGTAGATAGATTTTATTTTTTAAAGTATAAATAAAATTTCTAAGTATGTACATGCTTTTTTGCAAACTCTGAAATTTTAGGAGAATTGTTTTCTAAAAGGGTATAGGTCCTATTAAAGACCAGATAAAATAATTATCCTTATGGGGTTAGGGCCATGCCCTTGGTCACATCTGGTGTCTATAATTACTAAGGGTTTCCAATCTGCCAATACCATTCTATATACGTTGGTCAAGGTCACAGACAGGGGAACACAAGAACTGGAAAATGAACAGGCAAGTAGTAATTGGGATGCTAGTTAAAAACTGGGCACCTAAATAAGGACAAGCTTAGGCTAAAGTCATAAGATAATTTCGAGAGGAAAACAGAAACAAAGTGCAGTCTATAGTAGGGAACAAGGGGTGTTTGTGAGCAACATATAAGAATCATAAACTGAGATACAGATGCATGATAATATGGACCCTGAAGGAAAAACTGTGGTAAGGGATGGGTTGGATTATATAGGTTTGCTGGTATAGAGAGAAGTTGTTCAGAATATTTACTGACTGTAAGCAACTGACACCTCCAAAGCAGTATAAACATGAAAGTAATACCTAGCAGACTGCCAGTGCCAGTGCTTTCCCAATGCTCTCCAATATACTACAAAAGCATAAAAGGAAAACAAAAGTAGGAATGAAAAATGCACTTTGCACTTCACCTGTACCCTAATATGCTACGTACATAATTATACATACATCTAACTGGTCACCCAGTACAACTCGCATACTACTGTATATAGACATTATAATCATTTTATTTACATGATCATAAGTACATTTTGTACATTTCTTGTTATGTATATTAATGTTTCAAGTTTGTTTTTAGGTTATTGTTAAGCCCTGCGGGTGCTTGAATGGTGGATCATGTGTAGCCAATATTAACTTTCCTCCTGGAAAGGGGGAATATCTTTGTGTATGCCCACCTGGCTACGAGGGTGAATATTGCCAAGTTGATATCGATGATTGCCAGTCGAATCCTTGTGGTCGTGGTATATGTGTGGATGAAATAAATAGTTATCATTGTGAATGTCCTCTTGGTCTAAAAGGTGAGAACTCATAGCTAAAATACTTTGTATTCTATTTCATGTAAATGTATGTAATCTTTTTCTGTGTTTGTTACCATACAGGTGATACTCGAAAAATGAGAATATAGTGCAAAAGTTCATTTATTTCAGTAATGCAACGTAAAAGGGGAAACAAATATATGAGATAGACGCATTACATGCAAAGCAAGATAGTTCAAGCTGTGATTTGTCATAAGTGCGATGATTATGGCTTACAGCTCATGAAAACCCCAAATCCACAATTTCAGTAAATTAGAATATTGTGAAAAGGTACAATATTCTATGCTCACAGTGTCCCACTCTAATCAGCTAAATAAGCCGTAACACCTTCAAACGGTTTCTGAGTCTTTAAATGGTCTCTCAGTCTGGTTCAGTAGGAATCACAATCATGGGGAACTGACCTGACAGTTGTGCAGAAAATCATTGTTGACACCCTCCATAAGGAGGGAAAGCCTCAAAAAGGTAATTGTGAAGGAAGTTGGATGTTCCCAAAGTGCTGTATTAAAGCACATTAATAGAAGGTTATGTGGAAGGGAAAAGTGTGGAAGAAAAAGGTGCACAAGCAGCAGGGATGACCGCAGCCTGGAGAGGATTGTCAGGAAAAGGCCATTCAAAAGTGTTAGGGACTTTTACAAGGAGTGGACTGAGGCTGGAGTCAGTGCATCAAGAGCCACCACACACAGACGGATCCTGGACATGGGCTTCAGATGTCGTATTCATTTTGTCAAGCCGCTCCTTAACAACAACAATGTCAGAAGCGTCTTACCTGGGCTAAAGAAAAACAGACCTGGTCTGTTGCTCAGTGGTCCAAAGTCCTCTTTTCTGATGAAAGCAATGTTTGCATCTCATTTGGAAACCAAGGACCCAGAGTCTGGAGTATGGAGAGTATGGAGAGGCACACACTGCAAGTTGCTTGAAGTCCAGTGTGAAGTTTCCACAGTCTATATTGATTTGGGGAGCCACGTCATCTGGTGTTGGTCCACTGTGCTTCATTAAGTCCAGGGTCAACGCAGCCGTCTACCAGGAGATTTTGGAGCACTTCCTGCTTCCTTCTGTAGACGAGCTTTATGGGGATGCTGACTTCATTTTCCAGCAGGACTTGGCACCTGACCACACTGCCAAAAGCACAAAAGCCTGGTTCAATGACCGTGGGATTACTGTGCTTAATTGGCCAGCAAGCTCGCCTGACCTGAACCCCATAGAGAGTCTATGGGGCATTGCCAATAGAAAGATGAGAGACATGAGACCGAACAATGCAGAAGAGCTGAAGGCCGCTATTGAAGCATCCTGGTCTTCCATAACACCTCAGCAGTGCCACAGGCTAATAGCTTCCATGCCACGCCGCATTGAGGCAGTAATTGCTGCAAAAGGGGCCCAAACTAAGTACTGAGTCCATATGCATGCTTATACTTTTCAGAGGTCCGATATTGTTCTATGTACACTCCTTGTTTTATTGATTGCATGTAATATTCTAATTTATTGAGATTGTGGATTTAGGGTTTTCATAAGTTGTAAGCCATAATCATCTCACTTATGACAAATCACGGCTTGAACTATCTTGCTTTGCATGTAATGCGTCTATCTCATATATTAGTTTCTCCTTTTACGTTGCATTACTGAAATAAATGAACTTTTGCACGATATTCTAATTTTTTGAGTATCACCTGTATATGGAAACCCCATTCCACTGTAGTAAATTAATATTACATAGAACCATAGCATATAGCATGAAAATTGTATTTATGCAAATGTTAAACCACTTCTAGCTTAAAGTTGCAATAGTTTAAACAAACAGTATATTAAATTAATAACAATCTCAAACAAAACCATGATTAGAACAGGTGTTCTGACATAGACACTTCTCTTATGTGTTGTCATTGATTGTCACTGATTCACTTTTAGCATGAACCATATTGATCCAGGATTCATTATGAAGAACCCTATTTTATGAGAAAACAGCGTCTAAAGACATCAAAATCGAAGATTGAGTGATTAATGAATAAATTCTTAATCCTGAAATGCCATTATTTTGCCCCAAAACATGCTTTGCATTTTGTATCTTTCATGTTACATGATAATATTAGCCTAGGATAATATTAATATAGGATTAGTGTGTTAGGTTTAGATTGGATTTGAATGGTTAGTGTTGATGTACGGAATTCTAAAAGAATGATCTGGCCATTGAAATAAGAAGCTTGTGTATAGTTGTATTCCATGATGGTAATAAGAGTATTGAGGTTTTTTTTTCTTTCATTCATTAGTATACCAATATTTGCCTTTTAGGAGTAACATGTCAAGAAGATGTTAATGAGTGCTCGACCAGTCCTTGTTTTCCAGGAGTAACTTGTACTAATACCTTTGGTTCATATACATGCAACCAGTGTCCGAAAGGCTATGAAGGAGATGGAATTACATGTGGTAAATATATTATCTAAATGTAGTAGAACAACTATTTTAAATCTGCATATAAGTTTGTTATTGTAATACTACAACTAAGTCATAGAATTTTTGGAAATAACACACAAGATAAATCTGAACAGGGCTGTATATGAATACTTCAGTAGTATGGCTGCTACCAGTTTATAGAGTGACTCCGCCTTACCATCCGGTGTGATAAATACAACTACTGCTGGTGAATAAACTACTTATCAAATAAAGTCCTTGTGGATGGTCATTTATGGGATAAGATCAGATCCCATCAAGTGGAATGAGATGCTACTGATTGGTGGAGTCTCTTCCTGGTGACAGAGAGATTCTGTCTGAAACTACAGTCTAAGCTGCACTCTAACTGTGTATTTTAATTATCTTGGAAGATTTTTATTTAACATTTTAAACATTTAAACCACTGCTTTCTGTCTGAGCTAAGCCCTAGAAGAAGCCATAGGCAGTAGTGTAGTGCCTTTCTCAGAAAAGACAGCGTTTACAATGCACAGCCTGCAGGGACAGATTTTACGCTCCCTCTAAAAAACAAAATAAAGTACACCTAGCATAAATAAAATAAAACTGTCATTATGTACAACGTGTTTTGCAGGGTTATTAATTTTTTGGAATGTTGAAATGTAAAATTTTTAAAGAAGAAATATCTTCAGCATGATGAATATAAGTCACCTGTAAAAATTGTTGTGGTCATTGCCATTTAAGTCGTAATATATCTGTTTTTTGGTTCTTGTCAATCTTCCTCTTTCCAGTATAAGTTAACCTATTTCCACAGACAACAGTTGACCTGTCTGACTGCTTGGGACACATGTAGCAGCCTTCTGTACACTAGGTAGCGGAGAGTCATTAATTATTTTATCCAATGACGTAACACAGAGCACATAGAGGAGGGAATCTTTATGATTTTCTTCATGGTTTGTTGTTATGTATAACAGAAAGTGCACAGTTACAAAGAAAAAAAAACATGAAGAAAGTACCTAAAGGGATATTGTAGTCCTCTAAAGCCCATCAACTTGCTGAAGTTCTCTATGGGTTCAAATTCCAAGTAAGTACTTCTCAGTGGTTTCAGTGTTTTTCTTTGAAAAACATGGTTGACGAATTATGACAATTTGCGCTATGGGTCCCAAAGCTTCTCTGTGTGGACGCAATGATGGCTTCACAGGCAGATAAGAGCTGTATTGAGAAGACTATCTCAGTGTTAGAGAACTTACTTGATATTAAACCCTTTCAATGCTTTTATTATAAATACAGGTAGAAACCCTCCAATTAAAAAATATATTTTTTTTAATTGGAGTGTTGCTTTAAGAATTAAGAAATGTCATTATGTAAACCTGATTTTGCTATATAATTACCGAACTATTTTAATTATTTCACCTTCATTTTATGCAGTCCAAATATTTTTGACCACTCAGATGCCACCCGCTTTACTTCCTGAGGCCTTTACAGAGGATTATGAAGACAATGCCAGAAGGTTTGGAGGGCATGAAAAATATAATAAGGAAGTTTTTAAAACTGTATCAGGTTAGTATTATTTAAAGCACAATAATGAACATCATAATGATGAATCTCTAGGGGTTTTTTTTTATGTCCTCCAACATTCCAAAGTTTAAAGAAACCTTAATTATACCATTTTTTTTTTATTCTAAAGAAAACAAACTAAAACCTTTTGTAAATGGAAAATTACCTAATTAGTATGGATATAGTATTAACCACATCTTCAATGTGTGAGTGCTGGGTAAATTGTAGGAAGTGTAATTACATTGCTCCATGACCTCATACAGGTGTCAGTCAGCAAACATTTAAAGGATGAAAAAATACTTTATTGCAGCATAAGAGTAATAGTGTCCAAATAGATAATAATTGGACCTAGTTAGCTTACTTTTTTACTTTTACACTGATGCAGCAGTAGTGTTTTTTTGTGTGCATATTTTGCACATGTACAGCTTGTTGATTGTGTCAGTATTGTCAGAATTGAAAGTATTGGATTCCATGTTGCTTCATCTTACCTCGCTCTGTTTCACTTTGGCTTATGTGTCAAAGCTGTGGGCATGTGGACTTCACAAAATTATATCTGCTACTGGCAAGTCCACATTGTTGTGGATGCTTTTTGTGAAGCTACAAGTCCAGTTAAAGGGACACTATAGTCACCAGAACAACTACAGTTTATTGAATTTGTTCTGGTGAGTATAATCAGTCCCTTCAGGCTTTTTTTCAGAGAAAATGCAGTGTTTACATTGCTCCATAGGGATACCTCCAATGGGTACTAGAGGTGCTTCCTGGGGCAGCGCTGCACACTCTACAGCACTGCCATTCAGTATCTCCACCCTCTGCATGGAGACACTGAACATTCCTCATAGAGATGCATTGATTCAATTCATCCCTATGAGGAGATGCTGATTTGCCAGGGCTGTGTTTGACTTGTGCTGGATCTGCCCATGATCTGCCTCCTTGACAGTCCTATGTAAAAGCATTGTGATTGGCTCAGCTCTCCATTTCTGATCATTTCAGCCAAATAGGTAGATCAGGGGCAGAACCAGCAGCAGCAGAGTGGAACAAAAGTATGATCTTACTATAACAGGGCAAAAGGGAGGATGGGGGGGGGGAGGGGGGCTAGGGGGCTTGATCGTGTTTTTAACACTATAGGGTCTGGAATACATGTTTTTTTGTTCCTGACCCTATAGTTTTACTTTAAGTTTACATTCAGAGATGTATTATAATTTTTCCAGACTGGATGCTCTCTGCCAAGCTTGCTTAAGCACAACAGAGCTCCATGTGTGGAGTTATGAAAGCTCCATTTGACATTATATGGAACATTGATGTTCCTGAGCAACACATGTCTTAATATTATATAATGAAAACAGCTGTTCAGGTTATTCTTGTTTGTGCATAGAGTACTGATAATTTTACAACATATTTGACATATATTATACTATATTTGATTTAATGCTGGCTACATCTGTTTATATGGAATTATACGTTTTACTACATGTTCCACCACAAATAGAACACAGCAATGTTTTCTATCGGCCTCGTGTCTATTATGCTACAACATCACTTCTTTGTACATCATCGCCATTGACAAGGGTCAACAATAATGAGTCTGACAACACCCTATTTTATGTGGCATGTAAGTTAAAGGACCACTATAGGCACCCAGACCACTTCAGCTTAATGAAGTGGTCTGGGTGCCTGGTCCAGCTAGGGTTAACCCTTTTTTTATAAACATAGCAGTTTCAGAGAAACTGCTATGTTTACACTGAGGGTTAATCCAGCCTCTAGAGCCTCTAGTGGCTGTCTCAGTGAGAAGACGCCAGCGTCCATAGGAAAGCATTGTAAATGCTTTCCTATGAGACTGGCCGAATGCGCGCGTGGCTCCTGCCGCGCATGCACATTCAGCCGATGACGTCGCTAGGAAGGAGGAGAGGAGGAGGAAAGCTCCCCGCCCGGCGCTGGAGAAAGGTAAGATTTTAAACCCTTCCTCTCTCCGGAGCCTGGCGGGAGGGGGACCCTGAGGGTGGGGGCACCCTCAGGGCACTATAGTGCCAGGAAAACGAGTATGTTTTCCTGGCACTATAGTGGTCCTTTAATGTCATTTTTAGCTGTTGTGTATCCTGTAAAACTCTAATGCAAACCTTACGTACGTTTCTCTCTATGTTTAAAAGGAAGGCATCAGGATAAAATTAAATTATACATTTATTTTTCCTTCCATTTTTTTCTGACAAGTTGCACAGCAAACTAAAAAACTAAAAAGAAAATTACTATCCATGTTTGAGTAAGCAAAAACAATACAGCATATTGATGAGGCAAAAACCTCAAGTGCATTAAAACAGTTTTAGTAGCCCTAGTGTCCCTTTAATAAATTGTAAGCAGTTCAGATGATATCATGGGTTGTGATCCTGTTTTGATCAAAGATATGGCTAATCTTCAAAGAGGATTATCACAGTATTAGGACAGAAGAATAGTTTAGTGATCTCTTTGAAGTCAATGAAAACAGTTCCATACTATCAGTTTAGAGCAGAGCAAATTAGAAAAATAGCAATGTTTGCCATATGCAGGTTTCATGAGGGGCGTCATAATAGTTAGTGAAAAATACACATTGCAGGGATGTAGTTTAAACAGTGAATGTCTGCAAAATCTACCCAATCAAGTATTCAAAATAAATCCCCTGGAGATTCCTTTCTAATTCTCACCCTGACTTCTAAATCTTTCTAGCAAGTCTTTTAAATGCCATGCTCAAAGTGATCTTGTCTCTTATTTGTAAATAAGTGTCCCTGTCACCTATGCCTTTGTACCCTTTCTGAAAAATATACACACAGGCAGAACTTTTAAAATGTTTTTTTCTCTGAAGGATATATACAATGCAGTAATTTTAATTTGTATACACTTCCTACTCAAGTGTGTACCCTACATGATATATTCTTATTAAGATGAGATCCAAAAGAACAAGTAGGCAAAAGTAGTCTTGCAGGGCAGGCTGAAAAAGGCAATATATTATTGTGCCATCCCAGTATTCTTGCTGGTCAACTAATGACTAGAGATGTCGCAAACCGTTCGCAAACTTTTCGCGAACGGTTCGCCACGGTTCGCCACGAACCGTTTGTGGCGAACTCCGGTCAGCTGACACGTCCCGGCCAATCTCCAGCAGACCCTCCCTCCCAGACCCTCCCACCTCCTGGACAGCATCCATGGGAGGGAGGGTCTGCTGGAGATTGGCCGGGACGAGTCAGCTGACCAGAGTTCGCTGCGAACGGTTCGTGGCGAACCGCAGTGAACCGTTCGCGAAAAGTTCGCGAACGATTCGCGACATTTCTACTAATGACATGTTGATTAATAGTAACAACTATGAACATTCTCTCTGCTTTCTATCATTTATATGTTTTGATTGAACAAAAAGATATAAATGAGTAAATTCACAACAAATTTGCATAATTTGCATCTGCAGTCACCAAAGTAATGTAAAGTATGTTCAACTGTCTCTGTACTTTCTTCATTGGTTGTAATTGCCAGTAATTGGTTGTACCAATAAATGTTCCAATTTTTGTTTGTACACAACTCAGGATCTTCAACAAAGCCTACTAACCAGCCCATGATCACTTTAGGTGATCCTATTCCAACTGTCGCTGTGAGGACAGAAAGCATCACCGTAAAAACAACTCGGAATGATCCATCAGTTCTAACAGGTAATGTCTCCAAAAGAACTTTGTCAACATTACTGAATGGTCGCCGAACAACTTCAAAACAAGCTCATACGGCCTGGCTAACAAATCATCTACTAAGATCAACTCACAGAGGAAGCAATTCAAACATATACCCTACTCCACCGAGTAGGACTAGCAACTCCAAACACAGATCCACACTGACAGGAAGGATAGCAAAGGATGCTTTAAGTAAGAAAAGCGAAGAACTCATTGATCAGAATATAGTTACCAATTCCAAATCACCTTTTACAGCACTTAAAGATAATGTTTACAACACCTTAAACAGAACAAACCACAAAGGCGAGTTGAAAAGTGCATATACAGTGGCTCCTGCAAGGTTAACTTGTGCTGATTCTCCCTGTTTCCTGGGAGTTAATTGTGAACCGAGCCAAGATGGAGGCTTTAAGTGCGGAAGATGTCCTTATGGCTACTATGGAGATGGAGTTACCTGCAAAGGTATAGTGTGACCAAAATGTAATACTTTCAGTAGATTGCAAATGTATAGATAAAAAGCACTGACTAATTTTCATGGGAGAGATTTATATGACATGCAAAGTTTACCTTGAAGCCAATATAAAAAAAATGTGTAAAAGAAGAAATATACACAATAAGATAATACAATACAATAAGACATGTATCTATATAGTTTGGGTACAATGTCCGGTCATGTTAACTCATTGATGAATATCTTTTGGCACACCAGCTGTTGTGGTCTTTATAATACTTCCTTGTCTCTGTCACTTCATCGTGGTAAAAATGCAACTCAGCATTTGGAACTTTATGGTAAGCATGCCCCAATAAATCACTTAGAGAGATGTATCGCTTACAGTTATTGGCTTGGTAGTAAGCACAAAAGCCAATATTAATTTGTCTAATACATTAACGGATTAAATTAGTGACATTTAGTAAAAAAAAAATTATTCTTATATATAATTTCTTTGATGGTTGATCTGTCAAACCTAGCCATACCTTAGAAATACTACAGAGACCTAGAAAATGGATGTGTAGATACAGAATGTCTGTGTTCTCCTCAGATATCTCTTAATTTTTCTCTGTCAATGTACCTTTAAAATTTACAATGCTTGTCCTCCTTTGGTGTAGCAATTTGCCGGCACCCATGCAGAAAAAATATGGAATGTGCAGCACCAAATGTTTGCAAATGCAAGACTGGCTTTTCTGGATATAACTGTCAGACTGGTAAGCACTCCTACACAGTAATTATTTGTCTGCCTCAATGTTTACAGCTGAAAATAATTTTCCTCCTAATAATTAGACTTGATCTTTCACAGCTGTGTGTCGTCCGGATTGCAGGAATCGTGGGAAGTGTGTTAAACCCAATGTCTGTGAATGTGCTACAGGTTATGGTGGTATCAACTGTGATGAAGGTGATAAGAGTTTGATAATGACAATACCATTTATATTATGAGCTGTTTTAATTAAGCTACACATAAACACAGTTCCTGATCTTGTGTTCAGTTAATTAATTTCTGTCACCAAAACTGTATATATTTTTGAATGGGCTCTTGCTCATGACAGTTCACTTGTGGATTGTACAACCAGTGTATCTTGAGAATATGCCACGTAAACCACTGCTTTTCAGCCTCATTTAGAGTATATTTGCCCATAAGAGTAAACCAGTTTTTTTACGATTAAAACAATAAACTTATGGAATTTTCTGCCTAGAGAGAGTGCCTTATAAATTCACTGATTGACTAAATATTTGTTAGGGAATGCAGGGGATTTAGAGTGATAATGTAAAATTTGGTCATTTTTAAAAGCTTTTAGATCCAAAAAGAATTGTTTTACTTTGGGATGAAGAAAATATCAACCATGACACTTGTTAGTAAAATTTGATTTCAGCCAAGCACCTTAAATATTATCACCTAACACTAAACACAAAACCAACAATGTTGTATGCCATGAACTTCAGTAGTTCAAAAAGCAATAAAGTAAATTTAGGATATATGTAGAACAGGATAAAAAAAAACAGTTATGTAGAGGACACAATTAAAACTGCCACGTTGGTGCTTTGGGTCCACTCCATGGTAACTTATTTAAAAAACAAGACTACCGGGTTAACGTTTTGAGGTCAACTTTTATTTACAGTATTTTTTATCTTTACAATCAGTTAAATGAAGCATAACAAATCGTTTAATGTAGAAAACAGAAAGAAGGTATAACTGTCAAAACATATTCTGACCCCTGTCTTACTGCTGCAAACAACTTATATCATCACCGTCACCATAAATCCTGTCAGAAAGCACCTGACTGTGGTAGTTTCACAAGAAAAAGATGTATGGCGGGCTCCTGTAGAAACATAATGGTTACAAATGCAGGGGTTACAGAATAGTTTAATAGAGAGATTGCACATTTTGCCACTCCAGTAGTTGACAATCAGACTGATTGATAATTGACCACTCTTTCAAGGGACTAAAAACATGTTTTATTACTAGAGGAGCGCAGGGCAGAATGCTTTCTTAAATGACAAGACTCTATAACTCCACAACAAGATACAGTAACCTATTTTCAAGACATGTTTCCTTTGTACTAAATACGTGTAACAATTTAACCTGGTCCTGTCACCATCCCTAATGCTCAAATCATTGAAAGTAAACATCTTGATATATCTTCTGTAATTTTCCAAAAACAATACTTTATTCAAATTCAGACATGAGTAGAAAGGAATACTGGCCATCAGTGGGTGAATGAATAATTCGTAGACTTGTGCACCGTGACAATAAATAGCCATAATAATTAAAAGGAACACAATTGCAGAAGGAATAGGTTTTGCAGATGTAAAGTAGACCCACCTAATAAGTATAACGTCTCCAAAACATTTTAGTTCTTGGGAAAGTGAAGACACAATTTACTTAAAATGTTGTAAGATAAGTTTAACGAGGCAAAGCTCTCAACAATGACAGTTAAACACCCAGGGACCACCACCATGACAGTTATGTCTTTCTGTAATATGAGTCCTTATTTGCAGCTTATTGTGATCCACCATGTGAACATGGAGGTGTTTGCCAGGCTAGAAATATCTGCACCTGTCCATTTGGTTATGTCGGGCCACGATGTGAAACAAGTAAGCATGCCTTTTATTTGATTTATTTTTAATTTTGTAATGTAGCAAATATAAAGAAATATAACAACCAATCATTAGATTGCATCGTTTACAGATACTTACAGTGCTTGGAAACAAAAGGAAAGGATTGAAACATGGAATGTACCTGTCGGTGCCTTCTCCCACTAATCTAAGTGCCACCTGTCTTTATTACTGCTATTAATATAGGACATGGTTTCGCACCTTAAGGGCAAAGGCTATTGTCCAACTTCTGAAACTAAACAAAAACTAGAATGTGTTTGTTCCATCATAAATTAAGGGTTTATCCTCAAGTGCTCCCACATATACTATTTGTCGCTTTCTTTTAAGGTCATAAATGTTTTGTTTAATAATGGTAGTACACTCACATTTATGCGAGCTATAGCCAGCTCTAGCGTAATAGGCGTACAGTGGTATAATCCCCACTTATAGGATGTGCAGCAAGTGTCGACCTCAGGAGCAAAACTCAGGAAAGGGATAGAAAGACAACTAATAGTGCTCTCAAGATAAAAAATATCAATAGATAAAATAAATAAAAATGTACTTACAAGGACAGAGCAGGCTTACTGCTCTATGGTGTCATCATTGGTGGTATCATCCCCACCTAGGATTGCTTGGAGTGCAGGAAAAGTAAAATGCCAGGATGTAAAATCAGTGTAAAGAAAATAGATAATTGGTACGGGGTAGTTTCCTCAAGTGTATTATTTTATTTTATTTATTTTTTTTGTCACTACCCTGTGCCAATTATCTCTTTTCTTTTACACTGATTTCACTTATCCTGTACTCCAAGCAATCCTAGGTGGGGATCATACCACCAATACGGATACCATAGAGCAGTTAGCCTGTTCTATCCTTGTAAGTACATTTTTATTCATTTTATCTATTGATATTTTTATATTGAGAGCACTATTAGTTGTTTTTCTATCCCTTTTCGGAGTTTTGGATATCGCTCCTGAGGTGGATATTTGCTGCATATTCTATAAGTGGGGATTATACCGCTGTACGCCTATTACGCTAGAGCTTTTTGGTGAGCAAACATTTTCAGCACACTTGAAGGAATTAAATCTGTGACCAGTGGCCTCTGGCAGAGAAATGTATTCCTCTACAGGCTTGTAATCATTCCAGGAGGATAAATGAGGGTGAGTGAAGCTTTATGGTCTAAATTTCCTGCAAAATACATGGAAGTAACTAATGGCAATATAGAAAAACCAAGGACAGCAGGAATAGTTTGTTTTATTGTCTAGGACATTATTATATACCAAGTGCACATGTGATGTAGCAGTGTACTCTATGCTGTGTTGTTATGGAAATTAGTTATTTATTTACTTTGTCTTCTATCCTTGGTACAGTGGTTTGTAACCGACATTGTGAAAACGGTGGAGAATGCATTTCCCCAGATGTGTGCAAGTGCAAGCCTGGTTGGCAGGGGCCCACATGTAACACAGGTATTTAATGTTTTGTTTTTTTATCCGTTCAAACTTACTGGATAATTCTACGAATGAGCAATTTATTTAAATAATATTTAATAGCTACTTCTGTGCAACTTCAAATAATTATTAGTATGATTGTACTGACTGCAGGGGACACAACAGACTCCTAAGTGACTTATCATGGCCATGGATAACTATTTAAGATGTATGGTGAACAGATTTCTTAGTTCTACTTCACCATTTTCAGCCTGAACTATGAATTACAAATGCATGATATGCCTATGAACATACAATAAATAGGAAGAATAAATGAAGCAACAGTGCGGGATCTGTGGCACCCATGCATTGATCTCCATGCTCTCCCACTATACTATGATCTACCTTTGCCACACTAATCATAAAACTATGAGAAGTGGGCCTTTAACAGTCAGAAATAACCAAATTTGTTAAAGTATGAGGACCCCTACTGCATTATTGTGGTACTACAAATTGTTATTTTGCATTCAGCTTGTAACGGAATGGGATAGATTGAGTAATTCCAGGGTGTTCTACTCTGAGTGTGAGATCAGACACAGATGGCTCTTGTCACCAAACTTTTTCTGAATGCTATGGGGAAAGTGTAAGGCAGACTTTGGCTCCCAGATGTTATGTGTGCATCCAATTGAGCCATTACACAAGAGATTTATTTAGCATTGATAATTTTAAAAATGTATCAAACATTATTCGACAAACTGAAACTGTAGATTTAATGAACAAAAAACATGTTACCAGCAAGTGAGATATTATAGTTAAGTAACTCTCAAGATTAACTTCCTGCCGTAGATAACTCTTCCTGGTTAATAAGTTAAATGACCCCTAAAGTCAACCAGCCCACTTCATATGTAGATGTATTGTGCGGAGCAGATTGGCCTGCTGCTACTCTTTATACACTCCAAAGTCCCCATTACTGATACCCTTTTGCAGGAACATTCTGTGTCATAAGCTACCAACCAGCCCCAGGTTATAAAGGCTTACTGGAAAATTTTCTGGTGAGCTCCTCTTGGGGTGCAGACCATAATCCATGGACCCCTCACAGCAGCCAAATGGACTGGTACATGAGGGAGATCTTTGATCTCCCCACTGGCCATACCATCTCTCTCCTGCCTGCTGCCCCAAGGCTGTAAATTGTGCAGCCTTGTGGGAAACTGTATCCTTTTTTTACATTTGGTGGACCTCAAAATTTATTTTATGAGCTCACATCTCACAGCATGGGAATATTAACCCTCAAACTGCAGCCTATGGGTTGAGATGATGGGGGAGGAGGTATATTGCAGTGATTATCCTGGTTAATAAAGGTTTAGGGAAGCACCTTTTAATATTCTAATGACCTCCTCTACTTGCAACTCACATTTGGGCCATTTCAGTATTTTATAAACGTCCACATTCTTCTATTTAGGGCCAAATTTTATTAATTTTGGTAAGCTTTCTAAATTATCACAATCTGTTTGAAAACCTTTTCAAGTTATGTATTTACAGAAGTCACCAATAAATTCTATTTGGGATTTTTGCAGATTAATTATTTGAAAAGTGATCATTAAAGCAAAGGTTATCCAAAATAATTAAATTGAGGCTTTTGTTAGTATTTATATATTTGGTGCCAGGCATCAAACAGTATATAATTTATTATATGAGCGTTTGTGTTCTGACATATATTTTAGAGTGATTTCTTTTATACGATTAATGAATTTTCTCATTGAAACTGTGTTGAATTTCTCTTTAATGCTCTCTACAATATATAAGGTATTTGTATTTTTAAAATTCAGTATGGTGTTTAATGTGTTTTTTTACTAGCTGTCTGTCACCCAGTGTGTCTCAATGGTGGTACTTGTATGAAGTCTAATACTTGCCTTTGCCCAAATGGATTCTTTGGTGCACAGTGCCAAAATGGTAAGATTAATTTCTTTAATTAAGATTTTTTTTTTTTAAATGTTATAATTTTGTTTTTTTGTTGTAGTGCATACAATGTACAGAGCACATTGTTTGTATAAAGGGTGAAACTGACTTTAGCTCTATTAATTACTAACAAATGGAAACTTGATTGGTTGTTATTACGGTTAGGAGGGCAACCAAATTATTCTGTAATGGCAACTTATATTCTATTATCCTTATAAACATCAGTTGTAACAAGTATTTCATTAGATTTATATAATTATGTTTTATTAATGTTTTAGCTGTTTGCAGTCCTCCTTGCAAGAATGGTGGTCAGTGCATACGAAATAATGTATGTACCTGCCCAGAGGGCTACACTGGAAAAATATGCCAGAAAAGTAAGTGATTATTTATCTTTTTATAGTTTACTCTAAAACAAATAAAATTTCTTTTTCTCTGACTGTTTATTCCATACACCTTTACTTTTTTTCTGATGTTTATTACAGTTGTTTAACAGCATTACACATTCCGTTATTGACTACATTGATGGCTGGAGTATATTTCCATCATTTTCTTTGAGTTATTGTGAAATGTAATTTAACTTCTGACACTTCTAGCTTTATTCGGGTAGAAGAGAGTCCATTGGATGGAGGTGGCACATCAATGCGGTGTGATTTTGCTGCCCTTGTCTGTGTTATGTCCTTCCTTTTGTGCTAAATCCCCTAACAGACACCAGCTGCAAATAGGTCAGAGGCATAAAAAAGTGCCCATAGTCTCAAAATACCTCTCCACTTTTGTTGATGGTACAGTGGAAGCATACCTGTTCTCTCGCTGCCCAGACCTATTTTATTATGTGAAGAACAATGAAAATTTGCAGAAATCATTTAGGTTATAAATAAAACTTAACATTTAATATAATTTTTATAAAATGTAGATACCTAATATAGTAGAAAACATAAGGTCAAAACCATTGTGTTTCAGCCCTCTTACTGCATTTCTGTAGATACCCTTGCAATGGACGCTGTATTAAAAGCAGAGTTTTTTAAAATCAAAGCATGGGCTATGATCCAAAAGGATTGGTGATCAGACACCAGCCAAGGATTGCAGTTTCGAGCTTCTAAATCTCATCAGCATGGCTACGGTTCTGTTCTTAAATACAGTAACAGATTAAAAGTACATAACAAGGAACTAGAGCTATAAGAATATCTGGCATGAAATCCGCATTAATTTCCTCCTCACGTTGCTGTGGTATATATATACACGTGTACACACACATACACTCACAGACACACACATACTCAGACACACATACACACACACATACTCAGACACACAGACACACAGACACTTACATTCACAGACACACACATACATTCACAGACACACATACACACACACACACACACACTTACAGACACACACACATACTCAGACACACACACACACACACACACAAATATTTTTTTTTTTAATTAAAAAATGTCCACCCTGCCTCCCTACCTGGAGAGCTGGCATGGACTTGTCCCTGGGGTCCAGTGGGTCAGGCACTGGGTGGGTCTCCATCTCAGACATTTGCTGATGGCGGGAGCCGGAATATGACATCATATTCCGGCTCCCAGCTACAGCAGACAGCCCGCGCGGCGAGAGGGAACAGAGAGCACACAGCTCCCTCTCCGTGTCTGAGATGGAGACAGGCACCTGACGGGGGGGGGGGGTATCACCTCTTGGCACCCCCTCCAATGACAGGGGGAACACTGGGGAGGAGGAGGGCATTTGGGGGTGGCAGAGTGCCCGCAGGAACAGCGGGAACGGCATTCCAACGCGTTCCTGCAGGACTCACAGGCGTGCTGCGGGGATTAGGGTGTGCCCAGGCACACCCGGCACACCCCATGCGCACGCCTATGGGTGTACATGTTTTATATATAATCATTTTATTTACTGTGCACTTTAAGGATTTTACGTGTGTGTCCTGGTTTTCATATTTGCGTTGTTCACTTTAACCATTTTTTGTTTGTATTGATATGGTGAAATTGTATTGATTAATTTCACAGTGAACATAGCTGCATGTTCTTCACTTTTTAGCACCGGTTTTGCCCATTTTGTTTTTATTGCTTAGAAATGTTTAATGCAGAAGCAATAAATTGGTTGTCAAATTACAAAACAAGTCGGAGAGCACATCTAAAATTCCCATTAATTTAATTTAAAAGTATACTTTTGTTTTTTCACATTCTGTAGGTGTTTGTGATCCAATGTGCATGAATGGAGGGAAATGTGTGGGACCCAACATTTGTTCTTGTCCATCAGGATGGAAAGGAAAACGATGCAATACACGTAAGGGGCATATCTTTGAACCATAGCCATGGGTTACTAAGGAATCAACAAGTCTTTATATTTTGGAAATATTTAGTATCTTGCTACATGTGTGAAAGTTTGTGTATTTTTATTACCTTAGAGGGAAAACTAACTGCATGATCTGCTACATATATTGGACACATTCCATCCAACAATAGTAGAGTTTCCTTAGAAAAGGAGTAGGCAACCTTTGGCACTTCGGATGTTGTCGACTACATCTCCTCTGATGCGTTGCCACCATTTTGTCTGTAAAAGAATTATGAAAGATGCCTACACCTGCCCTACAACTTATAGTGAACATAACCTTCCTTGGAAAGTTGAAGAATAATTGGATATGATCACACTAATACCTTCATCAACACAAATAAAATGATATATACATGGTGTCCATGTGGTAAAATGGTACTGAGATTAGTACATTTCTGACTGAAAATCCTCTATAAGTATCTAAGGACAAACAACATAATATAGCATATATATACAATGGAGGCATTGTTACAATTAATCAGTGAACCACTTTCAAAAGTCACAACTGTCCATAGTAGTTTCTCAGTATTAGAGGGTGATATTTCAGCACCAGAATTTGGTGATATACTAATATGCCGAGTATGATTAGAGTCACATTAAACACATTCCTTTTACATTGATAGATCACATATGTATTTAGAAAGAAGGGATCATAATGAAAATGGCATATCAACATTTTATTAAAATACACATGTATCCATATACACTATAAATGAATATCAATGTTATAACTCGAGATCAAGGGTTAATTTTTAGTGAATATTTTAGAAGTTTAAATAAATACCGGTGAGACTATTTAATTATTATTATTATTTTATTATTTTTATTTTACGATTTATATAGCGCCAGCAAAATTCCGTAGTGCTGTATGAGACCTTGCCATTGGTAATTTAAAAAAAAAGGGAAGCATGCTTGTTCATCCTTCTGGAAGAGCCCTGAAAGTAAAAAAATGCATGTATGCGCAATAAAATAAAGGATTTTCCTGCTATAGAGATATCCTTGAAAGTCATTGTATTGTAGACATACAAAAATAACATAATATGCACTGGTAACGTAAGAAAACAAAAACAAATTTTAATAGCACAAAAATATATATATTTTTTGCGCTTCAGTGCTGATGACAATTCGGTGGTCTATTTTATTTATGTATGTATTTATTTCAATTCAACAGCAATATGTTTTCAGACGTGCAAGAACGGTGGTGAATGTATAGGTCCTGACACGTGTCATTGCCCTCCAGAGTGGGAGGGAAGTCAATGCCAAACACGTAAGTTAAATGCTTTGTCTCACTAGTTTTCCCAATCCTTGGTCTGTTTATTTACACTTATTAAAGAACAAGCAGTCCCTTTTAACTATTCAGATCTCGTTTCTTTCAGCTGTTTGCAATTTCAAATGTTTATATGGAGGGCGATGCACATCTCCTAATGTATGCTCCTGTCGTTCTGGATACAATGGGCTGACGTGTAGTCACAGAATAAAGGTAAAATGAGCAAATATGTTTTTAGTTATAAGCTAACGTAGTTCTATATCACCTTCTATATATTCTATTTTAATAAATATACTAATGCTAATATTAATAGTACAGACTTATTAGCAGTACATACTTTAATTCTACATTCAATTAAAAAGGCTTGAATTGTATCCTTCCTGGTAAAATAGTTTATGTATAAATACAAAATACATCATTTTTATACCTTTTTTGTCCATCCCTCTCTCTCTTTAATTGCGTTGTGATGCATTCTACTGCATTATTGTAGTTGTACATGACATTATTAATTATAACTGTACTATCATTGTAGTTTGATTGAGAAAGCTTGTAGAGAACATGCATGCATGAAAGAAGTTTAAATTATAAACAGTGTGAATTAAACTATACACACGCTAGAAAAGCAATATAAGTTCTATTACCTTACTCATATAGTTTAATTCATGGTTTTCATGACTAACGTTAATTAAAGCTGAACATGAGATATGCATAATGCCTTGATTTAATATTGTTAGATAAGGTTTCCAAATGATTTCATATTGTTAGATATAGACTATACCTATAGACTGTAAGCTTGTTTGAGCAAGGTCCTCTTCAACCAATTGCTCCTGTAGGTTTTAGTGTAACTGTCCTATTTAGTTAAATCCCCCCTCTTATAATATTGTAAAGTTCTACATAATCTGTTGGCGCTATATAAATGCAATAATAATAATAGATAAACTTTTAAAATTGTAAAAAAAATTTGATACAGCAATATGTTTTTTTATACTTGATATATTTTTTATATTATAATAAGTTGACAAAAATCACTTTAAAGATGTATTCAAAAATATTAAATCATTTGAAAAGCTTATATATAATAGACACGTGCAATTAGTTTCGTTCCGAATGCACATGTGGACGAATTTTGCGCAAATTGGAAATTCGGATGCTTACGAATGTCCAAAGTGCCGAATTGCCAAAGTTCCGAACTGCTTCGGATTTCATAAAAGTGGCAAAACAAGGGGTTAGGAGTTAGGGGAATAACAAGTGGTTAGAGTTAGGGGTTAGGTTTAGGGGTTAGGGTCCTAATTGCCAAAGTTCCTAAGTGCCGAATTTCGGAAGTGCCAAACCGAATCGAATGCCATTGGTCCGAATTGCTGAAGCAGACAAATTTTTTTAATTACCCGAATTTCCAAATTTTTGGCCCATGCATATCCCTAATATATAATACTAAATTGAGGCAAAAGAAAGCTCTGAGAACACTACATGGTTTACAGAGAACTGTAAATATTAGTATTGAATGTTTAGGTTTTTTTTAACAAATTTATTTAATTTTTTCACTTTGTAACACATTATATATTTATATCACGAAACAAAAGATAGGTTGTATCTTGTATTGCCCCTCTAACATAAAAATAACTATTAGGTACTGGAATTTTGCATAGTAATATTGTGTAATATTTTAATTTGTGTTTATTTTTTTACAGGGACTCCATGGGTAAAAATGAACGTATGGACTTTTCAATAATTTTGCTAAACAAATGCATAAAGAAAAATAACATCAAATTTACAAGCACGTTCTTTGAGCATTAGGAGTACTGGAACAAAACAAAGTCAATATTGATCAACTTTTTTCAGTAAAGAAAAAAGGCCAGTTACGTAGGATTTATTCACACACAGGAAACTGTTCATTTATACGTGGATCACCTCTTCATTTGCATAATAGATCCAGGTTTTGATTTATTTTTAAAATAATTTCTGTCACATTGCTGTGTGGTGAGGACTCAGGATTTTATTTTATTTATATAATTTTCCCCCATTTTTACCCAAGTGACATCATTAATTCCATCAGTGGCTTCTAATTTCCCAAGAACTATTTTAACAGGCTTATTAACGGATTCTAGTAAAAAAAAATTAAATAAATATATATATATATAATTAATATTAAATTCCATTTTACCAAAAATAAAAATAAATTGAGTGATGCCAAACCACGAAAGAAATAATGAAAACATCTATCCCCATCCACTTGTTACAATAATTCTCTCCTACGGTTAGTGATATTCAATAATATAAGTAAAATGAAGACAAACAAGAAAGAAGATAGCAGGTAACACCTGTACCGCTATAACAGAGGGACAGCGTCCAGGTGTGTCCAGCTATCTAGAGTACCAAATTGAGACTCCAGGGGTCTCAAGGGTCTTAACCCCAAAGTAGTCTATGCAATAATATAAATAAGACTTGCCAACTATACTAAATGATAAAAAAGATGTACTTCTGGTAAACATTTCAATAACGGGGTAAACAATTTATCAATTAAACAAAGAATTAAAGCCCCTCAATTACAGTAAATAAACTGCTGTTCTTCTATATTTTGGTTCGTACTAATTAACAGTGGAGATGACAAAAGTGCCAGTAGAAATAAATACATATCAATGAAAAAGAAAAATATCCAAAATGTTATTATATTTTATAAAATATAGGTATCTATATTTTTTCTAGATATTCTATTTAAAATATACATTATTTTTGCAGATGCTTTGGATGCTGAGATAAAATTGTTTTATAAACTAGAAGAAAAAAATACCTAAACTCCCCCCCCTCCCCTCCAAAACAAATAGCATGCCACATATGTATAGATTGGTACACATATTTCATGTGTAAAATTACATTGTTTTTCACATTGCATTGTAGGATTATATGTAGCTCTTACTGGGGCTGTATTGATTAACAGTGCATTTACTATTGATTCTAATTCTGTATATATGTATTTTTTTATTTCTTTAATTAATAATGTAGTAGGAAAGTAGATATATAAGTGTCACTAAAAAGTGTTTCAGTTGCTTTTCCTAATGCTGAGTGGGTCAGGCAGAATTCCCTGTCAAAATTAGTTTTACTTGGAAGATGATGCAGGATAATGTTCTCAATTATAGGAGCTACATACAGGATTTTATGATTTCATAAAGATATTGGATATTCAAAAGAAAGAGAGAGAAAGTAAAATGTAATTGTTTTATAGTCGTAAAAACTAATTTCAGGTGATACAAGGTACTCATTATATATATATATATATATATATATATATATATATATATATATATAATGAGTACCTTGTATCACCTGAAATTAGTTTTTACGACTATAAAACAATTACATTTTACTTTCTCTCTCTTTCTTTTGAATATCCAATATCTTTATGAAATCATAAAATCCTGTATGTATCCTGTATATATATATATATATATATATATAACCACATACATTCCTTGCACTCTTGCTCACAAGTAGTCTTTGTAATAATACTGGGTGGTAGAATGTAGCCACAAATATGTCAAAACCAAAACGGGATATTCTGCACTCACGCACTTCTTTAAAACATAGCGTATATTTCATCATAACAATAACATTCACATTAGTTAAAGTACATAAAATGCTCAAAATGGTCAACATTTTAGTCCCTGATTGGGACTGTCCTCGGGATAAGTCCTGAGCGGGGACTGAGAAAAGTCCTGATCAGGGACGGAAACGTCAACCATTTTGAGTATTTTATACACTTTAACTAGTGTGAATTTTATTATTATTTTTTTTTCATTCTTTATTTTGTTTGTGCAGTTAAGAAACATGTGACTTGCACTGCCACAATAGCCAGTGCAGAACAATTGTCATTTATATCAAAGACATTGCACTTTTTTTTTTGTGAGAGAAAAAACAAACAGGTTTACATCGTGTACTTCCTAACCACCTCGAGGAAAGAGTCGCTTTGCTCGCCGATTGATAGCATGGTTTAGGAAAAGGTAGGGATAAAGGTCACGTTAAAACATTGCTTTATAAAACATCACTTTACAATATTGAGTCGAGGATAAACGGCTTAATAGTTGTTAGAGTGAGTATCATCGTTTGCCAATGAACAAGTGCTGCTGGCTTTATACATTAACACGTTTGGCGTGGACCTGCACAGGTTAATGAGAGTAGACTAAACAGGCATAAACAAACCAGATCTAAACTAAGCATTTGTGGTATAGTTAATGGTTCAAGGCATGATACTAGACAAGGTAAGTATTGCTGTGACATAACATTTGCCATGGAGACAGGCTAATGCATTAAGATTTAACATGACAAGCTGGCGAGAGAGTGGCTCAACAGACTTATGGCATAGAGAGGTTCTGCACACATTTTTAGGTTAGGTTGAGTATAGTAGCTAGGTCACATGCATATTCAACATATCTAATGTGTGTGTAAAGGGTTTTCATCGCTTATTATCTAGATATATTGGTAATGTTGCTTAATGTGGTTGAACAACAGGCTTACAATTTATCTAAACACACTAGGTATTTATGAGTGATATGGGTTGTGTAGAGTTAGTCCCCAATGAGTGTGGTAGAATACAAGCGTGTAAGTAGTGTATGTGTGGCATATTAGCACATACTGTACATTAACCACCTATGTGAGCAGCTCGTGTCATATCTTTGGTCTGTAGAGTCTGTGGTGCCCTCCGAGGCGGTATTAGCTTTAGTCTGGGATCATCCGATTCCACACTTGGTCCTTGTTGCGGGGGCAGTCATATTGGCCCATACAGGGTCTTCAGATGTGGATCTAGTCTCGGCCCGGTGTTGTATAGCTGTCTCCCTTGTCGCAGTGCGCTGCTCAGCCCCAGCTCCGGGCTACCCTATGCCAGCCTGGCGGACTGTGGTACTGTGCTTGGGTGTGTTGCTGTGGTTTTGGGGTTGCTTGGTATTCTCCTTACCATGTTTGTAAATGCGGATGTGGCGTCGACGGGTCTCCGGGTGGATCCACGAGGCCACCGCTTGAGGGCATGCCCCTGATTTGCAGAATCTCACAGAAGGCTGAGTAGAGCCGATCTAGGGCCGCCAAGGGGTGAGGTTACCTTAGGCAATTTTCTTTCTTTCTCTTTAGCTGTCGTCGAGCGGCCATCTTAGACACTCTCCGGCTGACTCATGTTTCTTTCAATTGTGTAGGTTCTTTCACTGGCATTCCACTTTAGCCCTCTTGTCTGTTGGTGACCAGGATGTCCCCCACTGGTCCAAAGGGGGAGGAGGGTAGGAGGTCTGTAGTGCTTTCTGGGGAGTCCGGTGTCGCGGACAGCGGCCGCCTCTCCCCGGCTCCAACTCCCGCAGGCCTCAGTTTGCGTTGCGGTCTATGCGCCTCAGCAGGTTCAAAAAGGGTATCCCCCGATTCCTTGGAGCACCCCCGACGTGGGTGGTGCACCTTGGCGGGTCTCTGGGCAATATTGCAGCTGATATCGCCTTGTTTATCTCTTGCCCAGCGGGAGCTCTTTCCCCACGCATCTAATCAGCTTGGCAGTCAGACTCCGCCCCCTTAAATTTTATTTCTATAAGGAAAAACACACAATGTTTTAAAGAAGTCTATGACTTTAGCTTAATGAAGTAGTTGTGGTGTATAGATGATGCCCTTGCATTCTCACTGTTACATTTCCTGCCTTTTAGGAGTTAAATTACTTTGGTAATGCAGCCTTAGTCACACCTCCCTGCATGTGAATTACACTGCCTTTATAAACATTTCCTGTAAAGAGTCATCTAATGTTTACACTTCCTGTATTGCAAATTCTGTTTAATTTAGAAATTCATATCTCCTGCTCTGTTAATAGCTTGCTAGACCCTGCAGTAGCCTCCTGTGCATGAATAAAGTTCAATTTACAGAGCAGGAGATAACAACTTTTAAAGTAAGTTAACATCTGATTGAAAATGAGACAATTTTGTTTTCATGCAGGCTGTGTCTGTCACAGCCAGGGGAGGTGTAGCTAGGGCTACATAAACAGAAACAAAAGTGATTTAACTCCTAAATGGCAGTGGATTGAGCAGTAAGACTGCAAGGGCATGATCTATACACAAAAAAACTGCTTCATTAAGCTAATGTTGTTTTGGAGACTTTAGTGTCCCTTTAATGATTGCAATTGGCATACATATTTTTTTGAACATAATTTAATTTGCTGCTTTATTATTCAGCCAGAAGAATTCACTTTCTGACAATTTACAGCTTACTGAAAAGAATTTGTGTATTGCTTTGTGGAACACATTTTTATTGTAATATGAATATTATTACTTTGGATTTCAATAGGTTTATCTTTTTGGGAGGATCTATATATTGGTATTTTGGTTTTTTTACTTTATATTTGGGCTTAAGCAACATCTTTTAATTTATGTTATTTTCATTGTTACTGTCTTCACAAATATAAAATGTGTTATTTAAAAATAACAAAACCAGACAAAATATATCTACACCCGATGATCCGTTAACTTGAAGGACATTATCTGTCACATTAAAACTAAATTTACAACAGAAAAAACGAAAAAGCGGAAATGTGTTATCTTTGTTGTTTTCTTTTAACCCAAATAGAAAATTTTACTGTTAATTGTATTGAAAGGTTATGCCTTGACAAATAAATAGCATTCAAGTTATATTTAGAATATAGAAAGCCTCCTCCACCTGGATTCCAATTGTAATTCAATTGTGCAGTAAATAAGAAACCAATTTAGTGTGATCTTTATAAAAAAAATATAATATGTTTCTGGGATTTTAGCTTTTGTTCAGTTCTTCCATATCCTTTGACGTCTGTGAGAACCATTCAGTCCTTTAGGAATTCTTAGCATATCACGTTCTTTGGATGGAACTCAAGTTTCCATTTAGGTGAAAAATTCTGAAATATACTGTATTTGTACTTTTTCTGAGGTTTCTTTTTCTTGATGAATTGTCTTTTTTTATATTTTGTATCTGTTTAGAGTTCAGTAGTTGTATTTATGAAAATAAAAATATTTTTTCCCACTATAATTTTGTGCATTGTCTTTGCAAGTGAATGGATTTCTGTCTATACAGTTTCATTGTGAGACCTTGTGTGTGCCCAATTTATCAGTCAGAGTTTGTCCACCACAGTTTTAGTAAAGTAATGATCATTACATCCAGGCCCGGACTGGCCATTGGGCACACTGGGTAAATGCACACAGCACCCTCACAGCATCTCTCTCACACACACACAGAACCCTCATACATACATAGCACCCTCACAGCACCTCACACACACAGCACCCTCATACATACACACACACACACACACACACACAGCACCCTCACAGCACCTCTCTCACACACACAGCACCCTCACACATACAAAGCACCCTCACAGCACCTCTCTCACACACACAGAACCCTCACACACACACACGGCACCCCCCCCACACACACACACTGCACCCCTCACTCATAGATACAGCACCCTTACACACACAGCACCCTATACACACAGTACCCTCACACACACTGCACCCCTCATTCACACATAGCACCCTCACATACACACTGTACCCCTCACACACAGCACCCTCACACACACTGCACCCTCACACACACACACTGCACCCCTCACACGCACATAGCACCCTCACATACACACTGTACCCGTCACACACAGCACCCTCACCCCCCCAGCACACTGCACCACTCACACACACACATACACAATACTTTCAAACATATATGTATATATACTACAGAACCTCTCACACACTCACTGGACCCTCACATAAACACACTGCAACCTTAAACACATTACATTCCAGACACACACTAGATCCCTTACCCAACTCTGGTACACACTTACCCAAATCATGTACACACATACACACATTATCTCTCTATATACACTCTGAATCCCTTACACACACACTAACTAGATCTGCTATACATACTCTGGGTCCACTCTGGGTCCTTTAAACACACACTAGATCCTCTACATACACACACTGCACCACTAACACACACTCTGGATTCCCTATGCACACACTAGATTCCTTGTAAGCAAACACATACTACATTCCCTTAACACACACTCTCTACAACCCCTACACACACTACATCACCTATACACATGCTACAGCCCATATGCACACACACGCTACATCCCCTACATACACTATGCCCCCTATGCACACACTCTCTATAGCACCTAGACACACATACATGACATTACACCACAAACACAACACGACAGAAACCAACCTATCTACACAATACCACACCACAACCAGCTCATTCTATAGACACGCAATCCCACATGCAGGCTTCAAACACATGCACAATACTCTTTCCTGGCATTTTTGTCTCCTGGTATCTCATTTATGGAGACACCAGAGACACGTTTCAAGCAAACACAGCACAACTATGTTATTAAATTTGCTTGCACTGTGTAGAACAAATACAGGGCTTTTTCTCATGCTAGAGCTCTTGAGCAGAGCTCTGCACATGGTCTGCCCTAGAAGAGCATTGAACCAACATGCTTACTTTGAGAGGGGGTGTGCTTGTTGGTGATGAAAAAACACACCCTTTCTAGCCCCGCTCCTAAAAGTTCATCAATAGGCATGATGGACATAAGATGACCATGAAATCATTAATATACCAGTCATTCATGCTAATAAAACTAGATCTATCAATTGAGGAAACTTTTCAATTACTTAAATGATATTTAAGAAATAATAAAAGTAATACACAATTTTACAATTGAAAACAATAAACATTGAAGTAAAACATTTCACTCCTAGATTTGACTGCTTCATAAAGTGCTTATAGTCCATTACATCACATAGAACAGTTCAGGCCTTAGAAACTATGGGAAAAAAATAGAAGCAAAGAAAAGGAAAATTAGAAGAATGCACGTGACAACGCAATATATGTTCTATATGCATTAGTTAGACCATTGTATTTTTGTTATTTTTGTACATTTTTGTAAATTATACCCAAATATGCTGCTTTAAGATGTTTATTGTAATGTTAAAGGCACACTCAGAATTAAAGATAATTGTCTTGTTCACTCACTCATATAACTGCTTGAAAGAGGTATTGTAAACGATTTTGTTAGCTACCAGTGTTACCAGATGACTTGTAATAACACAATGACACAATGTCTAACTGGGCAGTTTTAACTACAGGGAGTGGAAACAGGAAATGTGTAAGATGTACAATGTTCAGATGTTAATCTATTTTATATTTAGTGCCTGTTTACAATTATTCTGCTGCACAGACAGGACTGTCTCTGGTGTTTGATGATCTGCAAACCATATGTCCATAATGATTTTTACTCTAAAAAAATGATTGATTTTATAAAGTTAGTTATTACAGTTTGCTTTGTCCAAAAACTTTTTTCAACATCTGTTTTCGTAGTACTTTAAAGATTTCTAATGCAGACTTCTTAAACTTGTAGATAGACAAAAAATGGAATTTGGCGCATCAAGTAGGTAATGCACACCCAGGTGCTACTGCAGTTTATTAGAGGACACAATATAATATAAACAAACGTTTCGGGCAACAAGCCCTTCCTCAGTGCTAATATCTAATAAACTGCAGTAGCACCTGGTCTGGGTGTGCACTACCTACTTGATGCGCAGAACTCCATTTTTTGTCTATCTGCTTGTTACACTGTTGGAACTACAGTAAGTAGACCTTGCAGCTCGGATTTAACTGTTCATTACTGTGTTCTTTATCTTTGATAATCGGTGGGCATCACTGATGCCTCTGCCTCATCTTATACATAGCTTCTTAAACTTGTATGTGAAACATTGTATGGGGTCTAATTTAAAGTCATGGATTGGTGTACAAGTAGTATTCTAATCATGTTTAACAGCTATGTCTCTATCTAGGCAGAACAGACTACTACAATAAGCTGTCTGACTTTTGGAAATTGTCACATAAATGGGTCAGAATAGCCAACCAAAACAAAGAAGACTATAGTTCACAAAGCCAGTTAATGAGGATCACTTACCTACTGTAGCAGAGTTTTGATCAGATTACTATTGCATTAGCATAAAGTGGATACTGGGCACAAAATGAAAAAGATTGTAAGCTTATTTAAGCATGATCTTCGTCAATCTATTGTTCTTGTAACATTTTGACATTGTATAATTAATTGTTAAATTTCTCCCTTTATGATATTGTAAGTGCTGCGGAATAAGTTGGCGCTATATAAATGCCAATGATAATATTAATAATTACAAATTGCCATTTAGGTCATATACTCCAATATTTCCACGTCTTCAATACTACAAAGAGAGAGATTTTTCACATAACAGTCAGTCCTCCATTCAATATTGCAGTGCTATAACTTTAGGGCCCTAAGAGAACTGTGCCCTTGCCTAGCAACTTCTATTACAAGCCCCCTCCAACCTTGTCTCTCAGTCTTGAGTATGGAATCAACTCTTCTGCAATGTATTCTCGAGATCTTGTGAAGAAAGTCATGCAACTATCAGCAGTTCTCAAGTTATCTGCAGATCAAATGCATAGGTAAATGTAAGACTACTTTATAGAGCCTCCTCTCTTTCAGCAGTATCTTCCGATGAGTTTCCATATTAAACAGACTGCCCTGACTACATGCATTGCACTGGACAACTTGGAACTTTTTTTATCAGAAAGAGGAATTTTAATCATGAAATCATACCACTAGGGTCAGTTTGGTTCTGAGTCTAGACATCTTTGCTCTACTCAGTGCACAGGCCTACACAATATCGGGAGCACGCTAACTCTACCAACAGTCTGTCAGTGTCTATTTGTTTAAGGTTATATCTAAGACATTTATTTTACTTCTGAATTTTCTGTAAGTCTCACTTTCATTTTTCCATTATTGTTGTTAAAATTTAATAATTCAACATGCTTTACTGGATTCCTTTGTGAAATGCTCTAATACCCATTTGGTTCGGTGAGCTAACACACACAATGAGTAAAGACACAAAGAAAATTAGGCACAAGGTTATTTAGTATACTCTGAAATTTAGCAAATGAAGGCCCAATTAAATATTTTTAGATAAGCTTTTAAAATGCTTGGATAAGTCTTTCAAAATTACTTAATATTTTTAGATAAACTTTTAAACTTTTTTCAAAAATATCAAAAAACTATATTGTATATATCAAATAAATCAACAGATCTAAAAAAAAACCTATTAAAATATTTTTCAAAATATTAAATCATTTTAAAAATGTGTTCAAAAATATAAAATTGAGACCTAAATCTAAATTGTAGAATAGAGGCTAAAATATTTTGTCTAGAACTGAGTTGGAGGGATTTTTAAAAAAAATTGCCATTTTAGTCTTAGTTTTGCTATTCAGATTTAAGTTTACAAAATTCTGAATTTAGTGAATGAGCCTGATAGGATTGAAATAGCATTGTCAAAGGCTCAGTTCTTTGAAAAAACAACATCAGTAATGCACAGAGCAATATCCTTTCTCCGGGTTTCATTTAGCTTGCACCTGGAGCAAATATGTTTCCAGAGGAGCTCAGTCTAGCTATGGTAATGAAGTATCAAAGATGAAATGCGGATTTATAACAACATTAGTTATGCTGATAATATTGGATTTCCGGAGAATATTAGGAGTCTATACTGTATTCATCTATTTAAAGGGAGTCTGTTTTACAGCGGCTCTCAATCACCATAGATTATAAATCTGATACACAATAAGAATTATCTGCATATGCTGTTAGTAAATCATATATACAAACAAATGGCCTGACTAAATAATCGCACAGAGGCATAAACAGGCAAATTATTTTCGGCAGTCATATGAAAGTAGGCTATGAAGGTTTCATTTCCTGCAGCTGTGGTTTTTTTTTTTTTTGGCTTAACAGGATATTTTGCTTTTGACCGGCATCAGAATTCAATTTTACATTCTAACAGGATGGGTAATGAAATATCAAAGATTTACCTTACTGGTTGAGGGAGGGTATGTAATGTCTCAGACAAACATAACATTGACCAATCTAAATTGTCTTGTAGCCCCATGTAGCCAAAGCG